CGCTCTGGAGCGCCCACAGGGTAGGCAGAGCGAAGCCACTGGAGCGCTCACGCTGCCTACACTGCAGGCGCTCTGGAGCGCCCACAGGGTAGGCAGAGCGAAGCCACTGGAGCGCTCACGCTGCCTACACTGCAGGCGCTCTGGAGCGCCCACAGGGTAGGCAGAGCGAAGCCACTGGAGCGCTCACGCTGCCTACCCTGCAGGCGCTCTGGGGCGCCCACAGGGTAGGCAGAGCGAAGCCACTGGAGCGCTCACGCTGCCTACCCTGCAGGCGCTCTGGAGCGCCCACAGGGTAGGCAGAGCGAAGCCACTGGAGCGCTCACGCTGCCTACACTGCAGGCGCTCCTTTCCGGAACAGCGCACTGCGTGGCGCGGCGCGCGGCCTGCCTGACGTTTACTGCCGGCTGGCCGTGCTGACCGTCATCTCGGCGAGCACATATACTTCCCGCTGACGCGGCGACGCGGCGGGGCCAGCCCTCGGGCCAGCCCGGCCAGGGCTATGCGCGCCGCCCTGCGGCTTAGCGAGTCGCCCGACACTGGTAGAACTCAAGCGTAGTATTACGCCTTTCTTCAAGCGTAGTAGAACTATGCTCGGCTTCAAGCATAGTTCTCCATTTTGCCCCTCTCCGGCCTATCTAAATGCATGGGAGAATTTCTTCTCTACGCTTGACGTCAAGCGTAAAGTCTTCAAGCGTAGTTGTATGCTTGAATCAAGCATACAACTACGCTTCAGTTTTACCGGTGGATCCATATTCGATGGCCCATGGCGCCCATGGCCTGGGCTGCCGGCTGGCTGGGGCCGGGCTGGCCGGGCTGGCCCCGCATGGTGATTGTTCATCGGGGACAGCCGTGCTGCGCTCTGCAGTCCTGCGGGAACCCCTGTCACGGCGGCAGACCTTGGCAACTTTTTCCCCGGTATGCTGTCTGCATTCCCACACAGGGCGGCTCCCCCCCCCCCCCCACTTCCCCCTTTTCCCGTCCCATGCATACAGTGGCTTGCTATCGACGACTGAGGACAACAGTCCGCGAGAGCGCGGTCGCGCCGCCAGGCAGCCGTCAGCCAGACGGAGGACGCGCGGCTCAGATAGGCGCCTTTGTTGGCGTCCTCCGGGACTCCGGGCGCGCTCTCTCTCCGTCGCTCGCTGCCGCTCTCTGCCACTCCCTGCCGGTCGCGCCGGAAATAGAGTGGCTCTGGCCGTGTCCGCTGCGTCATTATTCCAAAGTTTACCGCCACGCGTCACGTGACGTCACGTGACGCGACGGAAGCGTCGAGCTTTCGCTCCCCCAGGCGAATGCTGAACACTGCTTGCGTCGCTCTCTCTCCTTCGCACTCGAAAGGCGTGCCGCAGGGGTGCGACAGAGACAGAGCGACGAAAGCAGTGTTCGAGCCTGCTGCGGCGGTATCGCGCTTTGCCGACCGAGCTACAGGCCACTAAAAAGCTGAGAACCATAAACGCAAACAGGTGACCAGTCCGCCAGAGGCGGTGAAAAAAAAAAGAATTAACTTGGTCAACGTCAAACGTGAGGCGAGGCACCCTGCCCCCAAAAAATGAGCGGAAGTTAAAGTTTGTCATAGTGACAGTCTGGCCACCGGGTCCCTTTTTTGCGGTGCACGGCCGTGTCCCGAGTCTTGTTCGCCTAAAACAAGACCAGGGACTGTTATAGCTCACCGTGATAGTGGCCTATCTGGGCGGCGCTCTGCATGAGTTACTTTGTGAACAAGATGATAGGGTGCCGCAGAGGCCCATTCACGTGCAGCGAGTGGGGGAGCAGGGAGGAGGAGGAGGGAGGGGGGTCGTCTGGCGATGACCATTTACATTAATGGCAGCACGGGCATGAATGTTTCACAAGGCGTTTAATGTATTGGCCGCGTTACCAATGTCCCCCTTTTTTGCCCACCGCGCCGAGAAGAGTGCCAGAGAAGTGCGTAAAGTGTGCGTGGAAGGGGGGGTGCCGCTGCGCAGTGCGGGGCGGGGGTGAGGCGGGGCGGGGCGGGGCGGGGCGGGCGGCGGCATGGGCGGACCAACCCACACCGCTATCGACCGCTGCCGCACTGCGCTCAAGGCGCGTCTCGGACCCGGACCCAACCCGACCCCAACCCTATCCGGCACGAACCCGGCACGGCGCAAACCTCCTCGAACCCAGCCCAACCCCCGGGTTTGAGGCAGGCATCCGAGGGGTTCTGGGGACGGAGGAGCGGGCCGTCCGAACCTCGGCGCCGCGGCGACGCGGCCGCGTTCGGGCGCGACCGGCCCGGCCCTCGTTAGCAGCGTGGATCCGACACCCCGCGGTCCCGCAGTCCCGCAGTCCCGCCCACCGGAACCGGCTGGAACCGGATCAGAACCCGGCAAAGAAAGCAGCGCCAAACCCTGGGCAAACCGCAAACCGGACAGGGCGGGCCGCGCCACCGCGCCGCACAACAAGCTTCCATTCGCTCGCTGTGTTCGACTACTTCCGCCCCCTCCCCCCCCCCCCTCCCCCTTCCGAGCCAGCCCCGGGCGTCCCACCTGATTCTTTTTCCTCTGGAACGCACCCAGCTTGGAAGCGTGCCCAGGTCACGGTCGGTATCTACCCAATATGTCAGATTGCTTCCATACGCCCCGCCCCGCCCCACCCCCATTAGCCGCCCTATGCAACGGCGCGCAGATTGGCGTCGAGCCGTCTCCCCGCCGGCGGGGCCCCACGCCCTTTTCTGGCGCGCGGTCACTCAGAAGGCCGAGGCCCTCAACACCTAGGCCCGGCCTGCGCCAAGCCCGTCCGCCCCGCCCGCCCTGGCCCTTTATCTATCCATCTATCTATCTGCCCTGCCGCCACGTGCCACCGTGGCCAAAAATAGCGGGGGAGCTCCCCGGAGAAGCCGGGAGGAGACAGCATCCGGAAGGAGATAAGGTGGAGGGGAGGGGGAAGGGAGGGGGAGGCCTGCCTATTGAAACACGGGATTAAGCGGTGGGCGGGAGCGCAAGGCTGGAAAGCGGAAAACCGGTTACGACGGACGCGCTGTCAACGTCCCATTTTCCTCGAAGCGAACGCGCGGGGGCGGGGGCACCAATGGCTTGCTTTCCAAGAGGGGGATCCATTGGCGCCCTCTCGTGTTCGATTCGATTCCGATTCACGGCCCTGGCGCTGGGAAAGACGGAACGTGTCCAGAGCCACGTCCGCCGAGACTCGCATGGCCGCGCGGTGCCGTCAGCACTGCGGCGGCCCGACGCGGCCACGGCCTCGGGGGAGGTCATCCCGTGAGGACACAGTGCAGTCGGACATGCAGGTGACGCCTCAGTCACCGCGGCACGCCGTGGCACGCCGTGGCACGCCGGCGAAGCCTCGCGGGACGGTTGGTTTATTTTAGAGCGGTGCCCGCGCGCCGCGCCGTGCCGCGCCGTGCCGTGCCGCGCTGTGACGGGTCGCGTCGCAACCCTGTCGCCCCGCGCCGCCGTCCCCCGCCCCCTCCCCCGTGCCTTTCTATCTCTTGCTAAGGCATTCCGCACGGCCATCAGACACACATACTCACACTTGGCGCCACACGCACACACACACACACACGTATCGCGTTTGAGGGGTGTGTCGCGCAGCCCCTGCGTGTCGCCGCATCGCCGCGTCGCCGCCGCCACGCCACCTGTTACGTATTGGGCCATCACGCAGGGGAGCTTATGCTAACACTTTGACAAACGGTGCGCCACATGCAGCGTCTCGAGTGGGGATCGCGGCGGGGCGGGGCGGGGCGGGGCGGGGCGGGGCGCCATTCAAGGGTCCGGCCCCTCGCTCCGCGACAGCCTCGCCGCCGCCCTGCCTCGTCCCGCTGGAGAGCGCCCGGCGAGTAGGCAACAGGAGCGCACCCGCGTCGAGGAGCCGCGGCACTGCCTACCGTCCATTACCATTACCATTAAGGGCTAGACCACACATGATCGTATGCCATTTCGTGTCTCCACTGCCTACCGTCCGGGCGCTCTCCAGCGTGTCCTGGGGGCTCGGCGTGGATCGGGCTGGAGAGCGCCCCTGACTGGCCATACTGCGAGTGGGAGTCGCGAGGGGGAAATCACTCTTAAAAACTGTGACCCGACTACTCCCTATTACGTTCTATTACGCTATTACAGAAGGATTATTACGCTCGAAAATGTCCAGATTTAGGCTAAAATCGTACCTTAAATGGGCATTTTTTTTTTCAAAAATTTGGTTATTACACTATTACTATTACGCGTAATAATAGGGATCGATGACCCGACTATTACGCGAGTGATTTCCCCCTCGGGGAGTCGTAGCCGCTTGTGGTTCTTCTCCGCCGGGATAAAGTGTCACCTTAGTAAGGACGGCCATGTCTCGTTTTGCAGTGCAGGCGGGCATGTGTCGGGCCCGAAATGGCATAAGATCATATGTGGTCTAGCCCGTAATGGTAATGGTAATGGACGGTAGGCAGTGCCGCGGCTCCTTGTCGAGGGCGCTCTCCAGCCCGACCCACTCCGAGCCACCAGGACACGCTTCGGGCTCCAGGGTCCTGCATGAGAGAAGGGCGCGCTGGTCCCTGTAAGGGCGTATAATCTGTGTTATCATCCCACCGAGACTCCTCGTTTGAGAGGCGTTATCCATCGGTAGTGCTAGACGGTCCGTCCGACATCGAGACCGTGTCATGAGGACTACGTGTGCCTCAAATCGCGCATTGATTGAACCTTCAAAAGAATCGTGATGCCAACACAACACCTTGTGAGGTTCAATCAGTGCGCGTTCGGAGTGATAACCGCCACGGACCGCCGGCCGCCTGGCCCGCAGCGATCGCACCGGCCGGGCCGGCGCGTTCTTGGCGGTCGCGCTCCTGGAAGTAGTGCACCCCGCCTTTGCGGACCTAGGAGCGCCACGGCCGAGCCACGGCGCCGCGCCGACGCCCAAAGCGAGGCGGAGCGAACAGCCTGGCCGCCGCGCCGTGGCCGAGGCCGTGGCGCTGCCAGCGTCCTTGCCGCGTCCACCCTCTGCTCGTCTTCCTTGTTGTGACCGCCGCCGATTGCTTCCAGGTCGCTGCCCAAGCTCAGCAGCCAGGACGAGGATGGCCCCACCGCTCACGGCCAGCTGACGGGCGTAACACACTTCGAGCCCATCCCACACGACCACGACTACTGTGAGCGTGTCGTCATCAACGTGAGTATCGTTGGCAATGCGAGAAAGTGACGCGGTGGTGGGGAGGGGGTGGGGGTCGTTTTCATTTCGACCCCATGCGCGCTTTGCTTGAGGGTTATCCGGGCGATCGGTGCCGCGTGCCGCGCCCCGCCACCTGCTGGCCCTGCTGGCCCTGCTGGCCCTAGTGGCGGTGCGCGGCCACGGCGGCAACGTCGCGGGGCTGCGACCCAATGGCCAGCCCCAACGTCCAGGCCGACCGCCCACCGCCCTGTCGACAAGTCGGGCCGCGGGAGGAAGGCCACCAGGCCACCAGGCTCATTCCGAACGGAGCTTTCGTCGCTCCGTCTCTCTCGCCCTCATGGAGTGTCCCCCACGGGTGCGAGAGAGACAGAGCGACGAAACGCCTGCCGCCGGCCGGGACATTTTCCAGTTATTAGGTTCCTGGCACCAGCACCGGTCGGGGCGGCGAGGCGGGCGGCGAGGCGGGCGGCACCCCTCCAGCCCCGACCTGGCAAATTATCTGTGTTCCTTCAGCACATCCATTTCTTCCCCGTCGCTGGAAGTGCGGGCTCGTTTCGCGCGGGCCGCCACCGCGCCCCGTTCCTGCTTTCTACTCTTTGGCGGGGAGTTTCCCTTTCCGTGCACGCCGTCGCCGTCCTTCGCGGCTCCGCGGCCTCCGGGATGAAAGTGACTTATCCGCGCGGCGGAGTTTGACGGCCGTGTAAACAGTCGGGGACCTGGCCGGCTGGCTGACGCCGACGTCGCGACCAGCCCCGCGACCCAGCACCACCACGGCACCACGGCCACGTTGCCTTTTCTCCCTCCTTCTCGTGCTTCTGGCCGCCTTGCCCGCCCTGCCCGCTCAGTCCTTTCGCTCTTTATCATTGTCAAGGGGCCCTTGCAATCATTATGACTTTCTGCCACGAAAGCCGCTCGGCCTGTTGGTGCCCGGCACGCCACGCCGCGCCGCGCCACGCCGGCCGACCAGGCCGACCAGGCCGACCAGGCCACCGCACTCACTTATACCAGTCACCACGTTTAAGCAGACGGCGTGGCCGGGCAGGGGCGGGCAGGGCATCGCCGCGCGCGAGAATCGATCCCATTTACCTAACCGCTGTTCCGTTTCGCTTTCAAAACAAAAACAAGGGAAAACGCCTTGCCTTGCCCTCTCCATCGCGCTCCCCCCGCAGCAACGGCAGCATGGCGTAGTAATTATTTTTCCTTTTTTTGCGGCTGGCGCATCGACAGAGTGTGTCGGCGGCCACGCGGCCACGACGCCAGGATGGGGCCCTTGATGGCCGTGGAGCGGCGGGCCGAGCCTTTTCAACGGCCGGCCATCATTTATGAATGGCGCTGCACCACGGCCTCTATGGCCCCGCCACGGCCTCCGCCACGGCTTCCGCCACGGCCTCCACGGCGGCGTGCAGCGCGCCGTCCTTTCACTCGGCCTTGTTTGAGCAGCCCGTAATTGGCGTGCGGCGGCCCCGCACTTTCAACACCTGCAAATCATTGCGCCTCTCTCTCTAATGTCTATTTTTGTCGACTTTCTTTTCGCTTTTCCGCCCCGTTTCCTCCCGCCATCTGGCCGAGGCCCTTGGTCACGTCCTAATAGCGATTTAAAGTCCCCCCTTATTATCGGCTGGGCCGGGGGGGTGGGGAGGGAAGGGGCGTTCCTTTCGCTACGACGGCCTTGCGGCGGGGCGGGGCGGGGTGGGGCGGGGTGGGGCGGGGTGGGGCGGGGTGGGGTGGGGTGGGGCGGGGCAGGGCGGGGCGGGGTGGGGCGCGGTGCGGCGGGGCAGCCCCGAGCGGTGACCGCGCACGCCAGGCAAGGTGCATTGCTCTCGCTGGCGTCATGCTCCCTTTGTAAAGTGGAGTGTTTACCAAAAAAAATACAATGGAGTTTGATGCCCTTGAGTTAGGGGTGTGCGACCGTTCGGTTACGTTTCGGCCCATGTGTACTTGTGAGCTTGTAGCTGCTTGGAACAAAAAGAGAGGCGAGTTTTGGCACCCGGGCTGCTCGACCCTCCCGACGGAAACTTTGACCCTCCGGCAAGTTTCACGCGCACGCCGCCGCGTGCGGTGCTGTGTGCGCGCGAAAAAATAATGAAGAAAGATAAGTTACTCGTCGAACTAACTCGTTACTTGATAACCGAGAGGTTTATTCGACCAGCTACTTTGATAGAACTAAACGATACGCAAAGAAACAAAAACTCCAACAAGGAACCGTGGGCCACAAAAAAACGAGCACCGTACGTCGTAGCACACCCTCGAGCAGACCGCAACTTCAAAAAAAAAATGCGGCACCAGTGCTGACATTTCGTTGGAGGGGGTAGGAGGGCAACAGGAACAGGATTCAGCACTACCGCCTTTTAGCGCTGCTGGCGCTGCTTTGGCTTCCCCATTTGCCACCTGTCTGACGGCGTGCTCGTGTTGCAGGTGAGCGGGCTGAGGTTCGAGACGCAGCTGCGGACGTTAAACCAGTTCCCGGACACGCTGCTGGGGGACCCCTCACGGCGCATCCGCTACTTCGACCCGCTGAGGAACGAGTACTTCTTCGACCGCAACCGGCCCAGCTTCGACGCCATCCTGTATTACTACCAGAGCGGGGGGCGGCTGCGGAGGCCCGTCAACGTGCCGCTGGACGTCTTCTCGGAGGAGATCAAGTTCTACGAGCTGGGAGACCTGGCCACCAACAAATTCCGGTGCGTATCGCTCATTGGCGGAACAAGGACTTGCATTTTATTTTTGGCGTGGCAGGCGCGCCCTTCGCGGGGCATGCCCTGCAGTGCCCTGCAGGATGTGGCCGGCCGGTGTTTACCGCGTGATCGACGTGCCATATTTCTCGGCTGTCTTTACGAAGTGACGACTTGTAAACACGCTAATGCGCCGTCCGGCCGGCCCGCCGTTCGTCCGGCCGCGGAAGGGAGGCCGCGATGAGTTGCAGAACGATTCGGCCGAGCCCCGATTCCACTCGTGTAAATCTTGTCAGAATGTCAGAAACATGTCTGAAATCCTGATCGAAATTCGCGCACCTCTGAAAGCTGAAATTCTGAAAACTGACTCATAAACGGTTTGAATTTGAGGGGTCGGCAACTTCCCTTGGCCGTGTACGAGGGAGTATACGTATATTACCAGTAATATAGGTAATATATGTGTAATATAAAGTAATACAAAGTAATATATAGTATAGCCACCGCCTACGAAGCAATATATGAGTTGCCGACCCCTCGTTTGAATTCTACAGACTGTTAGGAGATGTTTTCAGCTTTCAGAGGTGCGCGAATTTTGATCGTGGATAGGACCGTGCCTCGATGACGCTCATGAAGTTGGTACCGGCACTTGGCTGAGTTTCGGTTTTGGCGGTCATCGCGCTGCATTCTTCTTCGTTCTTTCCAAGGTTCTCTCTAGCTGCCCCTCCGTGGCGCTCCTGGGCAGCCCAAGATACGTGTAGGCGTCCAGCAGATGCGGAAATGTGGGGGGGGGGCGTCTGGCCGGCCGTCTTGAGCAAATGAGCCGAACCTGGAATCGGGGAATCGGAGCGGCTCAATGTGTGATAACGCTTTCCCCGCCCCGCCCCGCCCCGCCCCGCCGTGTGCCGCAGCGGTTCCCACGGCCCGGCCAGGGCCCGGCCCCCTCGGCCCCCCTCTCGCAGGGCGAGGGGGCACGCCGGGAAGGGAGGGGGAGGAGGGGCGGGCCGGCGTGGTGCGGCGTGGTGCGGCGCCGGTACCGCAGACCCAGCCGAGCCCAGCCCAGCCGCCAGTGACCTAGTGTCCGCACAGGATACAGTTCCAGCAGCAGCCCCCTCCCTGCGTATTGATCGGCCTGGAGACCGCCCTCGAACGGCGTGCGGGCGGCGGGGGTGGGGGAGGGGGCGCGAGGGGGAGGGGGGCTGCGGCTCCAAGGAGCACGCTACTCCAGTGCGAGCCACAGCCCGCCGCGCGCCGTGTACCGGCTAGTCCTGCCCTTCCCCTACCTCCTCCACGGGACCCCGTGGGGGGCCGCGGGATAGAGAGGGGGTAGGGGGATGGGGCGGTACTGCTGGCGCTGCAGGGGGCACAGTTTTGACCTGCCCCTCCCCGCCGCCAAACGAGAAGGGGGCACTGCCGGCACTGCTCACACATCATCCGCCTGCATTATCGCAAAGTTAACGATGGGGCCTCTAGGCGGGGTGAGGCGCTGGCGGGGCGCGCACCGCGGCACCGCGCGGGCAGACGCGGGGACGATTGGGGACCGCGCAGGGCGGGGCGGGGCGGGGCGGCGCAGGGCGGGGCGGCGCAGGGCGGGGCGGCGCAGGGCGGGGCGGCGCAGGGCGGGGCGGCGCAGGGCGGGGCGGCACAGGGCGGGGCGGCGCAGGGCGGGGCGGCCGCTGCAGGCGCGTCACAGCTCGAGATTCCCCCGCGGCCCTCCAGAGACCCACCGGCCAACCGGCGCAGGGCCCTTGGGTCCGCGGTGGGCGTGATAATGTCACAGTTATGACGCAGCGGCACGGCGGCATGGCACGGCACGGCACGGCGAAGCACGGCACGGTCCGGTGCGGCCGCGACCACCGCACTATTCTTTCTGGGCGTTCGGGACGCGAGCCAGGGAGGGGCTGGGCCGGCCTGTACCGCAGTGCCGGCCATGGCTGGACGCGGCAAGCCGTCGACGTTGTCGCTCATGATGTCCGGGACCTTGTCCAGGACCTTGTTCAGGGCCTTGTCCAGGACCGACCTTGTCCAAGACCTTGTCCAGGGCGGGGACCGGCGAGCAGGCTGGGGGTCCCGGGCCGCGGCCCCCCGCCGCGCCGTCGCGGCCGTGCCTTCGCGGCCATGCCTTTCATCAGGCAGATGGAAGTATCTGCCGTTTGTGGGTCAATGTTGTGCGGGAAGGTATTTTTAGCCCGCGGCGCGCGAGAGGGAGGGGCGGGGAGGGGAGAGGGGGCAGGGAGGGGCCGCGGAAGGGATGCCGCGCGGGGCGTCGGGAGGGGGGCCGTTTCAACTTCCATGTCGCCGGCCAAGGAGGGCCTTATCATGAATGGCCGACCTGGGCAGCCTGGCAGGTTGGCCAGGGTGGGGTGAGGGGTGGCCGGTGACGTCGGCCCGCATCGGCCGGTCTCCAGCGCCTGCAGCCCGGCGCTGCAGCCTCCAGCGCGGCCAGCTCCGCTCCAGCATGGCTCCAGCCAGGCCGGCCGCGCCGCCGGGCCACGCGGGCCGCCAGCACAGAGTGCACCGCGCCGAGACCATGCCGGAATGCAGGGCAATTTGTCGGGGAGCCATGGGCAGGCCATGGGCAGGCCATGGGCCGCATGATGCACTGACGTCACAGCTGTTCTCGCAGTCTCAGTCACCATGGTTACGTTCGACCCAGCGGGGCCCCGGCCCCCACCGCGGCCTCGCCCCGCTGGCCAGGCTTGGGCTGGCTTGGGCCAGGCGCCCCCCACCCCCACCTCCGCGCGTACCAGCCGGGGCCCCGAGCTGGCCCAGCAAGCCCTCATGGGCAAGCCGGCAAGGCACGCTGCCGTGTGTGCGTGCGTGTGTGTGTGAAGGGGAGGCTGTCCCCGGCCGTCGTCGCCGTGCTCGCGGATATCAAAAAATACACCGAAAAGATGAGACGGATCTACGTGACTTGGGTCCCGCCTGATCAGATTGTTTGCAAAAGATGTGCTCGGCCAGCGAGAGGGAGACGGGTCGGAGACGGGGGAATGTTTGCCAAGTTGGTCCCCGGAAAGCCGAAACCTCCCCACTGTTATGCCGCATCAGTTAGGTCTCTGCTGACATTCCCCCTCCAGGCCCTCGCCCTCGCTCCGACCATCCTGATGCTCGGGGCCGCCGAGCCGAGCCCTGGGCGGCCCTGGGCGGCCCTTGGGGTGTAAGTCTGAATAGCGTCCAGCAAAGGGCGAGCAACAGCGTGGCTTCAGTCCCAGGCCAGCCCCAGGCCCGCCACTACAGCCCGGACAATGCGCATTAAACACACGGATGCTTGTTCTTGCCGGTGACGCCCCCGCCACGCCCCGCCACGCCCCGCCACGCCCCGCCACGCCCCCGCCACGCCCCGCCACGCCCCGCCACGCCCCGCCACGCCCCGCCACGCCCCGCCACGCCCCGCCACGCCTCCGGGAAGCCAGGACCGGAACGAGACGGCGCGACGCGCGGCCACGTCCAGCCAAGTCGCAATTAAGAGAAAAGAAAGGGGATATGGTGATGGCGAGGTTGGCGAGCCTGGCGAGGCCCTCACGCGGAGTAACGAAGTAACGAAGCCGGCCGGATTCGCCAGCCAGCAGTCCGATTCCGAGCGGGGCGTGCCTCTCTCTCTCTCTCTCCCTCTCTCGCTCTAGGGGGCGTCCCTTTGGGGTGCGAGAGAGACAGGCCGATGGGACACGCCTCTCTCGGAATCAGCCTGCCGCCGGCCTCTAGACCGCATTATTCCGAGGCACGGAGCGATCCCTGGGGAGGGAGGGTTGGAGGGGGGAGAGAGAGAGAGAGAGAGAGAGAGAGAGGGAGAGAGAGAGAGAGAGAGAGAGAGAGAGAGAGAGAGAGAGAGAGAGCAGGGCGCGGGGAATTAGTATTCAGAGCGGGGTCCGAGTCCGATTCGTCCTAGATCAAGCTTCTTTCAACCGCAAATGCGGCTCAGAAACGATTCGTTCTCAGTCACACGTTGACAAGTGCGCCATCGCCATTTCGTTTTTTTTTTTGTGTGTTTCCCCTCGGGTCGTCAGCTTTTTTTGTGACACCGTGAGAAATACACCCACATACAAAAGATATATCTTGATTCTGGGCTGGAGCTGTTAAGAATCACGAAACAAATCTCTGGCATTGGAATCAGCGGATGTTTTTTTAGATATAACTGGATTAACCGGAGTTGCTTTGCTGTTGCAGGGAGGATGAAGGATTCATCAAGGAGGAAGAGAAGCCGCTCCCGGACCACGAGTTCCAACGCAAAGTGTGGCTGCTGTTCGAGTACCCGGAGAGCTCGCAGGCGGCCAGGGTGGTGGCCATCATCTCCGTGGTAGTGATCCTCCTGTCTATCGTCATCTTCTGTCTGGAGACGCTGCCCGAGTTCAAGCACTACCGCGTCTTCAACACCACCACCAACGGCACCAAGATCGAAGAGGACGAAGTGCCCGACATCACAGACCCCTTCTTTTTAATAGAGACGATATGTATAGTTTGGTTTACGTTTGAACTGTGGGTGCGCTTTTTAGCGTGTCCGAATAAGTTAAACTTCTTCCGGGACGTCATGAACATCATCGATATTATCGCCATCATTCCGTACTTCATCACGTTGGCCACGGTGGTGGCCGAGGAGGAGGACACTGTGCAGGCACCGCGGGCCCCCGTCAGCCCGCAGGACAAGAGCACCAACCAGGCCATGAGCCTTGCCATTTTACGGGTCATCAGGCTAGTGCGGGTCTTCCGAATATTCAAGCTCTCCCGCCACTCGAAAGGACTCCAGATATTAGGGAGAACACTGAAAGCCTCGATGAGGGAACTTGGATTGCTCATATTTTTCTTGTTTATAGGTGAGTGTGATGAGATAAGGTTCTTATCTCTAAAAAGTGAAAAAAAAAGAAAGTGCTCTGAATATCCAAGTTTTTGTGTGCGTGTGTGTGCTCCCTCGACGTGTAAGTGCTAGTGTAAGTGCATCGAAATGGAAAGTGCGACGGGATCTCTGCTCAACGGCTCCACGGGTAATGTATACCGACCGCAGCATTTATCCCTTCTCTCGCCGATTACATAGGCGTCACATCATCTTTTAAGGGGACAAGTTGTTTTATATAATATATGGTGCCCATCGGGTGTCCTTCTCCAATCATAAATGGGGGCTATGGTGACCCACTAGAATGTGATGCCTGTGGCTTTTCCATAGAGGCGGCACAGGCCGAGTCCAGAGGAGCCACAGGGCGTCTGCACTGTTTGCAGATCAAGTACAGAGGGAGAGCTGCAAACGCCTTGAGCGCGTCGGCCAACACTCTCACTCCCAGGGGAGGCAAAGCGTGTAGGGTGGGGACACTTCTTCGACTCCCGCGTCCTCTTATTCCCCCACCGAGCAGAAAAAGGTATGACATATTCAAAATGATCGACCAACCATTTGGAGACGAGGGCAAATCACCCCCTGACTAATTCGCCAATTTCAAGATGTTGGGTTTTGTTTTCGTTGTTTTCTTTTTGTCATGTCGTGTCCGGGGTTCTAGCCGCGGCCTGCCTCGGCCACGTTCAGTTAGGTTCCAAAATGCAGTGGTGTATAAAAGGGAGGGTTAGAAGGGCTTAACGCACCCCCACCCCTTAGCATATCAACGGGCGTGGCGACCCCGCGCGACAATACACGCCTCCTAAAAAATAAAATAAAACAGAAAACTCTGCTCCGCCACTTCCAAAATGTGGCGCAGCCCGTTATTCTCCCCCCCCCTCCATTCCCCGGTCCCCCAAGGCCGACAAGGCCTCGGCAGTTCATTAAAAGGCTCAGTCGCTTCGCCGTCACGCACTTCTCAGGCGACACAGTGGTGCATCCAAGCAGCAGCTCGCGCGCCGCATTCGCTGTTCAAGAAGGTCCAACTGTCGCTGCCCCCTCCCCTTTCCAGACCTCTGAAGCGCTTCCTTTCTCTCGCTGCCTTCGTTGCGGCGCTGTAAGGGGAGGGGGTAAAGGTACGGGGTGGGGGGTGGGGGTGTAACGATCGTCCGCTTCGCTTCCTGTGCGCCGCGCCGCGCCCCGCCCGGCCGGGCCCGGCCCCACCCCTCTATAGCAGACTAGCGCTCTGGATGTGCCGTTCCTTGCGCTGCGGATGCTTGTCAACGACCGACACGCTAATAGCTACCCCCACCCCCACCCCTTCCGGGCCCCATCGGCAGTGCTGCATCGGTCCGCCACGCATTGCCATGCCGTGCCACGCCGTGCCACGCAGTGACATAGGTCGCGCGGTCCATTTACAAGGAGCTGTGTGGAGTTCTCAAGACGCGGCGTTTGCACGGAGTGAGTTGCCAAGTCACAGCCCAGGTGCCGATTGCTGAGATTCACAAAAAAAGAAAATGTTTCCGAAAAAAAAAATTGAAATTAGTGTTGAGTGTTCGTTACTCGACGCGACAGATTCTTTGCAGAGTAGGGTAGTCAGGTGTACAAAGGCTTATCGGTAGTCTTACTAGAGGTAGTTACCTAAGATAGTATCAGAGGTAGTACCAAGTTAGTACTAACGCAGTACAATATGGTAGTACCAAAGATAGTATAGGTAGCATTGTAGTCCAGTTTGCATCAAACATTCGAGTGGGCTGCAGTTCTGGACAAACAGTATCAAATATCGGGAAAAGCATCTCGCTCGCCAGATGTGACATGCTGGCGTTCGCTCGCGTTTGCTGATTGTTGTCTCTGTCTCTTTTATAGCGGGGGAGGGGGGCGCCTTTCTGCGCGTCTATCGCATGCATTTCTGCTGTCACCTAGAAAGAAACAAGATGTTGGTCCTTTTCGCGACTCGTGCGGATGAAAGCAGCGGCGTTTTGGGGCAGTCCGAAGAACATCAATCTCAAAGCGCAAAGTAAAGCCTGTTTACAAACACTGCCGGATGTTTCAACGAGCAAGGCGACAGCAATGCCTTCTGGCAAAAATAGCAATCGGTGGGAATGGGGCAGTCGCTTCCTTTTGTTTCAAGGGCAGTGTTTACCCGCTCAGCCCAATCAGCATCACTCGAAGGCCCTCCGCCGGTGGGCCCGGCTAAAAGGACCAGCTAAAAGCCTATTGGTCGGTCAGGCCCCTTCTGGACCTATAGACACACGTGTTGCCGTAATCGATAGCTGTTGACATTCTGCGGAGAATACGGAGGGACAAGGGGCTGGATGGCCCGGCCGGGGGACACCACCTGTAAGCAGGCCTAACCCACCCTGCAAAAAACTGGTACACTCCCTGAATCAAACCACTACGAAATGAAATGATTTTTTAAAATGTTTTTTCTTGGTGAGTGGGGGTGGGGGCTCAATTTGCCGCAATGTTTTTTACTGGTTGGTCGATCATATTGCAATTTTCACCGGGCGATTGCATGTAGTTCCTCGGATGATTCATTTAACTCAAATCGCCAATCGGTACGTATTGAAGCACAAACGTCACGACACACTTTAAAAAAAAGGAATTCGGTTTTAATTTTAAAAATTCTAACTTTGTGATTAAAGGTACTAAAATGCAGCAAATCAATAGATGAAATAATTATTTTTATTGGAAAAATATTGCTTGTAAACTTTTAAGTCAGAGTCATTGTAAAAGTATTTAGACTCACCGTTACATCATTTCAGTACTCATAAGAACACAAACAGAGAGAGTGAACTTCGGCGAGCTTCCCGTCATAAGATTATAAATGTAACAGCAATATTTTATAAATTGTCTGAAACTTCAAACATGCTTTCTTTTATCTGTTTTTTTTTTTTCAACTTTTAATTGTTTGAAGCAGTGCGGAGTTTGCTCTCGTCTGGTGTAGATGTAGACGTAGTTTGTAGGCTCCCGCGAGCCCGATCATCCCTTAGCCCCCTGAGGCCTCGAGGTCTACCCTTCCCTCCCCGCCCCCTCTGGGCCCCCTCTGGGCGCTACACCCCCATCCTGCCCCTCGCCCATTAAGCTGCCTGTTCCAGGTGTCATCCTATTCTCAAGTGCCGTGTACTTCGCCGAGGCCGGCTCGGAGATGTCTTTCTTCAAGTCCATCCCGGACGCCTTCTGGTGGGCCGTCGTTACCATGACTACAGTGGGATATGGCGACATGAGGTAAAACCTCCTCCCCGTTCCCTTAGCGGTTCCAAACGCTCGGCGCGTCTCTCTCTGTCTGTCTCGCCTTCCTTCCCGGCCCGCCCCCTTCCCTCCACAGTGCCCGGCCCGCCCGCCTCCGTCCTATCTTCTCTTGCTGTGTCCGACACGATTGTTGCTGTATTTCGACAGGTGTGGTGCTGTTTTCGAGTGCCGTATACTTCGCGGAGGCTGGCTCCGAGAACTCTTTCTTCAAATCCATCCCCGACGCGTTTTGGTGGGCCGTAGTCACCATGACTACCGTGGGCTATGGAGATATGACGTATGATTGTTTCTCTATCTAAACCACTCTTTCTTTCATGCCATCAGCAAGTGCAGTTACTAACATTAGGTTTTACTTACAAGCTTACCGTTTATCATCCGTATCATATTACTCCACGTTATTTTTATTTTAACAGCCATGTTTTGAGTTTGGTTACTAACAGACCTTTTGTAAGCTACATATATCACCTGTAGTGTGCAGTACCATGTAACAAACATTAATGACTAGAGAGCGTTAATTTTTCTATTGTATACCATCTATCACCCTCCCGTGATCATCATACTAAAATTTCAGTTTATTTTATTTATTTGTTCACCTTCATTTCATTTAAAGAAAATTCTTTGTTTGGGTTGGTAAATTTACAGTATTGTGTAGATGTATTATCTAGAAGGCAGTAGCGGGTGCCGAAAAGGATTTACCTTATAAACACCAAGTTTCTGATCCAATATGGGCCTTAGCGTGCATGCCCTCTATAGTGAGGTTTTTGGTAATCGCAAAAAGAATAATAAAAAAAGAATCTGTGGCACAGTGGCAACACAATAACACCTCCATGGCGACTTTCAAAGCGCCAGCCAGACGAACGGAATTCCTTTCACTCCCAGATGAGCTGCTACCCCGTGCGAAGGCTGGCGACTGTATTGCACCTTTTAGAAGTCAACTTGAGCTTGCTGATCAAAAAACTGCGTTACGTGTTATGGTGTTAAAGTTTAATAAGGGAAGGGATGTGTGAAGATACGTTTCAGAGTGTCCAATAACAGCTTGTGTAGGCAGGTAGTTGATTTTCTTAGGGTGCAATGAATGGTCTTCACGTACACTTTATCTTCGGTGTTATTATCGTATCAATGTTTATCATCTATCTTGTCTGCTCCTTTACCCTAAACTTTGAATCCTTTCTTCTTCCTTCGTCGCTTTTCTCTTTTAAAACCCTTTCTATATTTTTGAGATATGGTTTGAGTATAGAGTTGGCCGATTGTCTGTGGTACTTTTCTGTTGATGTTCGTGTTTAGCATGCTTTCTTGGCCACTTATATTGTTCATCGGCCGATTGTATAAAATCTGGTTACAGCTCAATTTTTGATTGACGCTACATTTATTCATGCCAGTGGGTTTTATCGTAATTCAAAAGACCCACTAAATGAAAGTAAATTTGTCAAGGTGTATGACATTACACCAAATATTGTCAAAAATTTTATGATAAAAAAGTCTTTAAAAGTCAGCGAGTGAGCAGAGTACTATAGATTAAAAAGAAAAGAAAACAAAGTGTCCATTTTTTAGATTTAGTCCCAATAATAAAGCAAGTTGCACATAAATACCCCTGATTCGATGAATCGCACCTTTTTTTAGAAAGGATATGTGTAAGGGAGATTGCGAATCAATAGGCCGGACGAGTGAGGTCTGGGGTTGTGTTCATCCGCCAGGACCAGAGGGACTATGTTACCATGTTAATCTTATGGGACTGATTTTCGGAGTGCCCATTGTAAACTTATTAGACATTTCTTAAGCAATGCAAGTGCATTTTTGTGATGGCGGTATTTTTTAACGACTCTGGACGAGTTTTGGCGTCTTAATACTGTTTAGGAAAGGATTTTCGTAAAACCTGCAGACGGAGCTAAAAGCTTACGGTGAATTCCTCATACCCTCGGTTTGTTGTTGATATGATGGCCCTGTCTGCTGGGTTCTGTGGTAGTCTTTTTCTTCCCACAAACAGTCTTGAATCGCCAGAAAACATTTTCAACCTAAAATTAGATTGGTTATATCTGTGATTTCATCCAAATGCAAAGCACAGTTTACTTTCAAGTGTACAAAGAAAACAGAATGCTAGCAGAATGGCCTGCTTTGGCGCGCGGCCCGGCTACGGGGTATGAGAAATTCACCGTGAGGATAGCTCGTCGGCCGTCTTTATATCACATTATTATAGAAGTAGGCAATACAATTTTTGTTTTATCGAGCTGAATCGTATTTAAAACAGCTGTTCTTTCCATTTCAAAACATTTAATTGCTAAGAATTCTGTATTTTATGCTGTCAGCGTGCTTCTCCATGCTATCATATGGGAGCCTTGTCCTGGGACTATCTGCGGAGGGATACGACTCGTCCAGTCTATGGGGATGTTAGGACGCAACTTGTAGACAAAGTATCCTTACGGGTTAATTAACTGAGTGTTTCATTATTTACTTAACAGAAACAAACTACGAGCCCCAACTAGTACTCTTCGTAGACTATTCAAAGTCTCTATTAAACAATTAAAACTTGTCATTGCTCTGACAAGATTTGCATTCTTGTTTCACCGTTACCTAATAATTCAATACAAAAAACTATCAATGGTAAAGTTGTTATGTGGGCTCCACGCCAGCAAAATGACATATCCCGCATTTTTTCTAAGAAATATTAGTTGTGTAAAGTTAATAAGGAACAAAGAATTTTCTGTCACTTTTTCATTCACTGGCATTTTCTAGTTTTGCTTAAAGGCGGTATCAAAGTTGGGGAAATTTATGTGTAGAAAGCTTTTCTTAACCAATTTGGCTGCATGCGGTAGTGCACGTTATGTTTCTTTAGGTCTTGGTATGCTTCCTTGTTACGCATAAGTTATCTTCGCAAATGTGCTCACAACAAAATACAAACCAACAAACACATTAAACCGCGATATTGCAGCGTACACCATCAGAACCTGGACCGAATGGGTGTAGGCTGCTCTTTATTCCATTTAATGCTTTAATTGTGCCTCTCACGTGTTTGTTCCTATCGTTCAGATCCTACCAACACTTTCCTGCCACCATAACGAGATCTTCGTTTTCCTTCCTGCATTTGAGCGTGTGTCCTGCTGACATTATTCCCGATTTCTCCCCTCTACCATTTAACATCTTGGTATGTCCCTCACCACAAATACACGGAGATTAAAAATTACACGTTCGTTTTGTGAAGCCGTTGGTGCTGAACCGGGTTCCCACGAAACTCGTCACTCGACGGGTGCTGCAGACTCCACCCTGGTGCCTCTCTGTCCGCCTAAATCTATCTTGCCAACTGTGTGTGATCTGTGCATGGGGCCAGCCGACCAGGACGCGGGGCCAGCGCTCAACGCTGTTTTCAAGAGTGTGTGTAGGAATTCAAAAAAGGGATTATTATAAATCAGAAGGGATTATTCCTATACTTTTAAAAGCAGACATTACGCTGTCAATAAGAGAATTTTCAATTGGACAAAAATACTTTTCTTTTACTTCAAACAATCCAAAATGATTGTTTTTACTGCAGTTTGGATAGCTTTAATGGAAAGTCCTGAGCGCACTCTTGAAAAGGTGATCTTTTTGCTTATCATCTGCAACTCTATCTATTCATTCCCGGATAACCTTTCCTCGGTGACAAGGATCTTGTTTTGTTTGAGGTTTGTTGCCTTGCACCGCAAATCCAAAAAAGTGTCGGGAATAAAAATTTTGAATCGATTGTAACGTATTTTCAAACGTAATTTGTGATTCCGCGGCTAAAGGAACCAACGTTTTCGCCTTAAAGGAATGGTACCTTCATTTACTGAGTAAAAAGTTACGTATCGTTAAGACATGCATTCATGTTCACCAGTGGTGGAAATCTCTCAGAATCGATTCTCATAAATTACGTTTTGTGGTAACTTTGAAACCAGAAATCACCGGATGATTCCATCCAAGGGGTGTCTTGCGTAAAAATAACTTACCTGACGTTCTGCTCTTGAACATAAAAAATTTGCACTGTTTGCAGCCGTCCGAAGGATGGACCAAAAATGCTTGTTTTTTTTGTGTGTCTATTTGTATATTTAATGATAATTTTATCCCATTTCTATGCGTTTAAGAAATGACACTAAGAAGCTAACACAAAACGTATATATTTGTGTGCTTGTCTTGGTAAAAGGCAGCAAGCGGCTTCTGTTTTTGAATGGGCTGTACATATTGTAACCTGTGTCTAGATGTTGCATCACTTTGTCAATTTGTTTTCTGTGCTAATGCCTTTCTTGCGATGTATCCGGTCTGCAAGTTTCTGGACACAGCAGTTTGCACCCCTTTTTTTTAATCTAAAAATATATTTTTTTAAATTTGGCTTTAAAAAAAGGACTTCGTTACCTTTCCACTAGTTTATCACGACCAAAATGCTGGTCCGGGAACCTGAGTTAACAAAAACCCCTGCGATGCTCGGGCAGGCAGCAACTGTCTACGATGCTGCCGTGAGACGCGGTCTGCCTACCTCAGCCTGTCTGATATGGCCGTTTGTGCATTAAATTGACATATGACTATGTAGACAGGCAAAAGTCGACAAACCGTGTTCCTCTGAAGCATCTTAAAGTCAAATTTTGTGCAATAACCAGGCAACTTTGCAGGGGTGTGCTGCGGCACCTGGTGGAAAGGCAGTGGCAGTCTTGGCTTCAAGCGGTTAAGTCAGCAAGTTTGGCGCAAGGCTTCTCAGCCTACAGAAATTGTAAAAAAAGAAAGTAAAAAAATGTTTGAGGGTGAGGCGTAGCGTGCAACGAATACTTTTCTCCTGCTGTCTCATTATGTATTATTTTTTGCAAGAAATATAGCCAGTGCGCCCGTCCCTTGTAGGTGTTGTTTCGTGCCACAATAATATTTCTGCCTGTTAGAAAAACCACAGCACGGACTCCAACATTGCATTACTTAAGAGTATTGAGAGGCAACCTTTGATACCCTTGATACCTTGCCTTAGGGCACGCAAATTTTAGTTAAAATTTTAAAGTCTCCTTAAAAGATGGAACAAAACAATTTAACTGCGATAAAAACAGTTTTACTTTTGTGTAGGTTTAAAGCAAAGGCCAGTGTTGCTGGTGTATTATGGGGCTACACGGCAACCTTAAGTTGTAGATATGAACTTAAACTGTCAATTAGGGATAATATTCCAACGCGCCCTAAAGCACCGTTTTTTTTTTCATTCATTTTTTCATACCATTGTTTTAAATCATAATAAAAGTCAGAAACCAAGCTCAGTAAACAACTATACTGGACACAATTCTTGATTTCATTATTGTTAGGTCACGTCTTACAGGATGCATGCGGCTTTTGAAAAACAGTCATATATTTCTAGGTCTAGCGCCCCAAATATTGAAAGCAGTTGAATGCAGAGAGTTGACTTTTCAGGAATACATTTTAAGTTAGGAATGGAAACGTGACAAGACAGAGGGAGCGGTTTTAAGTTGCTTGGAATTTCATGACCGTTCGTTTCTCAATTATTGTTTGTTCTGTGGTTTTGATCCACATTTTGCAGCAACCTCCTCTCACTGTGTATTTGGAACTCCAGCCAGTACAAGCCACCGTTTTTTTCTACCAATGAGAATTGCCGGCACCTGCATTTACGCAAATATTTCCATAAACACCTTTTGATATCTGTGGTAGTGGCATTTAAGTTACAGGAATGATCGGTGCAAACCAGCTTGAGCCGTGGTGCTATCGTTCCAGAATGGTGTTGTTCGATGTTTTCTTTTTAGCATGAAGCGTCCATTACTGTTTGAGAAAATGCATCCATTTAACAACGTTGAAACACATTATTAGTGCTTTTCTGACAAAACAAAAGTCATTGATCGAAAATTTATCCACTATAGTACAACACAAACACTTCCAGATATTACTTTAAGTTTATACATTTTAGTCTTTATTTTCATTTTGTTTTGTTAAAACTTATGATTGCCACGAATCAGTGCCAAATTATAGACATGCGCCTTTTCGAACTACAAATTATAAGCACGTTTTAAACAGCCTCTTTTTACCCCCACAAGAGTGATTTGCAAGCATGTTGTCTGATCTCAAACTTTTCATGCACAGTTACAGCAAACAGAGTATTCATGGCGTTGTTTTAGATCTTGCATTATTGACACTATGTGAACCATAATTTTGTTGTGCTGGCTCTACACGCTGTTTGGGTTGTAGGCAAAATAGGCAATAACAGCAGCACGTGGTATAGTCATCTTTAGGAATGGCATGGAAAGGCGAGGCTTGATTAACCGGCCTATTGACCACTGCCGCACCATGGACTAAGATTAAGCCAGAGCAATCATACAAAGCAGCTAAGCCGTATATCAGTTTGAACGGCTTATTCAAAAGCATTAAATCAAACGGGTTCCACTGGATTGAGCTGCCACTGCGGTTTGCCGTCATTAGACGCAATGCACTTGTCCACGGTGGATCACACTCCTTTAAATTTCCAGGAACTAGTATTCGGTTTTGCATTCCAAATTGCGAATGATTGCTCATGCTTTATCCTTCATCTTAACGCTGGCATTGACTGCTAAATAATATTGATTACAAAAACGGACTAGGTTCAGCGCATATCTCTTCGAGGATCTTTTGCAGTATTTGTTACTAACTTTTTAGAACCTACACAACTCCGTAGACCCATTATTTGATCTTAAATTTAGAAAATGTAGCTGAGTGTTGACAATAGATTTCTAGAATTAAAAGAAACAACGTTGCTCAGTAATTAAGTTTGATTGTTACGGCACAGGAATAGATCGTAATAACGCCAGGTATCCGATATTTCAGTGCTAAAATAAACGTGAAAAAATGACTGTTGCCTCTATATGCCAGTTATAATTATATATTATATGAAGCCGTAGAAATAAGTCTCTTTGCAGTTGCTTAGAACCGCTAAACATAAACGCTGATCCTAGCCCGTGCCGCAAGCACTGTTAAAACACGCAGCTGTGTTGGATTTGCTTTTTGAGTACTAATATTTACTAATGGTACCTTATAAGGTTCATAGAACCTAATCTATTTAAGAAAAATGTCAGTGATCTGTGTTACAAAATATTACTTTGAAATATTGTCACTCTGTGGACTCGTCGTAAACAGTATGCTCATAAGTCCAGTCAACTTTTCAAGTCAAAATTCTTACTATGTAATAATTTTTGCAACAGACATGAGCTGCAGTCCATAAAGATACAAATATATTTCCAGTTAATCTAACATTTTCGATTGTGACCTTTATTTTAAGGACACGTTGTGAAAAGAATACTGACGCATCCACACTGTTTTTCATAAATTTTTTGTTTTATTTAAAAACTTTTGACTTTTTGAAAAATATTGTAAAATTGATTTTGGCTTTAGTTTAATATTGCCCTCATAGGTTCAAACCTAACTCCTACTCAAAGAATATTTTGAAAAACGGTGGATGCGTGTCAATACTGGAATATTGGCTCACAAATGGCGTTTTGTCTTTTACAGGCCAGTCGGAGTATGGGGGAAAATCGTGGGTTCGTTATGTGCGATTGCCGGTGTCCTGACTATCGCACTTCCCGTCCCTGTTATAGTCTCCAATTTCAATTACTTTTACCATCGAGAGACAGATCAAGAGGACATGCAGAGTCAGAATTTCAATCATGTGACGTCATGTCCGTATCTCCCGGGCACACTAGGTAAGCAAAACAAACGGATAAGTTGTAAGTTGTTTCCCTTTATCATAACTCTTTCCTAATGGATATTGTGTATCTTATTACAGCAGGGCAACATATGAAGAAGAGCTCAGTTTCGGAGAGTTCGTCAGATATGATGGAATTAGAAGAAAGTATTTTAGTTGGGCCCATCAAACGGCCCAATTCCTGCATTTCCAACCCTCGACTGCATCAGCCTCACAACAATACATACCCAACAAGCATAGAAACAGATGTCTGACTACTGGGTAAGCATGCCTTCATTCTAACTTTTCCTCTCGTGACTGAACACTTGGCTTGCATACTGAGTTCGCGCTCACTCTCTTGATGGTAAAGAATGCATGGATGATTGTGTCTGTCACAGTGTGGGCGGCGGCCTGGTGGGTGCCCTCGTGCCCACCATGGGGTGCGTCACCCACCTTCAAGTGCTTCCAACGTTCCTCTGGTGACGCCACTACAGACGCCGCCGCCTCCACCAAGCTCAACGGATTTCAACTTTGGTGCTCTCTTCCCTCCCTGCCCTAGAGCGGGCCCCGCCCCGGCCCCGCCCCGGCCCCGCCAGAGGGGAGGGAGGGGTGGGGGTGCGACGGTGAGGGCCCTCTCAGAGCCCCGTCCCCCCCGCCGCCCTGCCAGCCCGTGGGAGGCGACTCTCACCGCGCCCCGACACCACCACCCCCTCAGAGAACGAAGAAAGGTGTTGGCAAATCCGCGTAGTATTATTATGATTATAATTATTACAGACTTCTAAATGAAACCAACGTGCAACACAACCAAATACTTTTTTTTAAATTAATGCATAAGGATCTAAATAAACTATTATATAATTAAGATGGCCATTTTTAAAATGCGTTTACGAATATAGGTGCATATCGAGACCGTCGAAGAGAGTATGGAGCGGACCCCTAACAGATGTTCAAAGTGCCCACAGATATGTGTCCGTGCGCGTGCGGATACAGGGTGAGACAGAAAGCCGTCCATTTGGCGCACGCTCTGTGCGACAGAGTACCTCTTCATTACCTTCCAGTCAGATGTAGTTTTTAGAGCAGCGTTCGGCCGTCACCCTGTATGCACACGCCTTGTGATGACCCCAAGGATGACCCGACACGCCGTCCGAGGCGGGGCGTGCGGAGCGTGTGGCTTGCTCTGCAACGCCTCACGCTCTGCCGCTCTCGAACGCCTGTCGAACCGACCGCTAGGCGGCAGCACCGCAGCCATCCATGGCGGCATCCAAGGCAGCAGCTTTCATCTCCAATCCCCATCATCAGTTTGGCCACTTTCTTTAAGTTATTTAATTTTGGCCGTGCATGTCGCACCACCGGTTCCCACGCCGCGCCGTCCAACTACAGTAAAGCACCGCGATGCCATATCAGGGATCTCCCGCGCCATCATGCCGTCTCGAGAATTGTGTAATGGATCCCCAGGGTAAACCTTTGTCAGGCCGGCCCTGCCCCATGACTCCATGGCTCCACCAGGCCCAGCCAGGCCTAGCTAGCCTTGAGGCGGCTACGCTGCAACCGCCCAGCGGCCGCCTGCCGCCTTCCCGCCCACAGCCACTGCCATGACCGAAGCCACTCGCCCGGCCCGTGAGCACTTCTTGCCGGCCGGTGCAGGGGGCGCGGTGCCAGCCACTGCAATTGTTGTATTATTGTTATTATGATTATTATTATGATTATTGTTGTATTTATTGTTATGATTATTATTCCTGGCTGATCGCAAATTATTTTGTAACGTCTGAACAAAAGCATGTTATTTTTACCGTATGTTCAAGCAGTAAGTGTGTGCCTTAACATATTGTGTTTGATCTCGAATGAACGCGGTGGTACTTTACTTGTAACGGAGAATTCCCTCTTTTTTTATTACCTTTTGCGGAGTGTTTTTCCTATCGCATCATTCGATGTCAAAGTCCAGGGCATTTCTGACCGCCGTGCCGCCGACCAGGCTGGGCGTGAGCCCGTGGCCTCGGCGGCACGGCGGCTCGGAGGGGCAAGGGGCTCGGCACGGGCTGAGGGTGCTCGCAGAGGAGGCGTCAGCTCATGTTCGGACTGTTTCTTTAGTTGTTACTTTTCACGTGGTACTTTGTGCTTCACATGGCTGGTTTTTATTTTGTGAACATATATCGTATGGGTGACTGACTGTTAAGAAAAAAATGTTTTAGGGTCCGCAAAACTAGGAGAAAACTGATATTTTCACCTTCAGAAGACGCTTCTGTACCAAACTGTGATTCTTTGGCACGCCCTTGTGTCCAAACAAAATAAACGTCCCCAGTTCCTCTGTCGGTGAGAGTAGTGTCAGGTTATAATTTTAGTTGAGAAAGTTACTCGCAGAGACAAACCCTCGTGGTGCAAGTCCGGCTACCTAACGCTTCAGTTACCATGTACTTTGCAGACGGCTCGCCAGCCAATCACGTTGCGGCCCTCGCTGCGAGCTGCCTTCTCATTTTGAGGACCGCGGCGAGCCGTCGTGCGTGGGTGGAGGAGCTGCCACGGGCCAGCACACCAAACAACAAAAACTTTTCTTTTTTTTTTTTCAAAATTAGCTTAAATGTAAATTAAATGGGGCTTACCCTTGAGAGCTATGCGCGGGCCTGTTGGTTCCTTAACACAGAAGTGGAGTGGCTGGAGCATCCTTGGGGCAGAGCCTTGATGCAGCCCAGTGGTCTACCGCCGGAAAGACCGGACCTCTTTTGCCGCTTTGCCGCATCACGCCCTGCGTAGTAGTGAGCCCCGTCATTTCGACCTACTCAAACTTGATGAAATTGGGACGTCACAGCGACGTCTCCTCGACTGTTGTGTTCTGCCAGGGTCCTTTTGGTTTAGCTCTATTCGAATCTGTGATGTGTAGTCTTAGCGGCCCGAGCCGCGGTAATCCCGTTCAATTTGACACAATATTGTGCTGGTCCGTGTCTGTGCCGCCTTGCAAGTTAGAGCGCGTGCGACTTCAAAGTGTGCGTGTGTTTGAATGAGTGCGTGTGTGTGTGAGTGCGCGCGCGCGTGTGAGGCGACTGAAAGAGCATGCCTGCGAGTGAACAGTGTGTGTGCGCGAGAGTTTGTGTGAGTGAATGTGAGCGAGAGAGTGTCTGAGACTGCTGTGCGTGTGCCTTACGCTCGGCCCAAAGTATTTATCCCCACCAGGTAGGATTAATTCCAGAGGTTGATCGTCCAGGTATATTTAGTGTCCTAATTTCTAAAGGAATATTCTTTTTAACTACACGAAATTTTTGCATAACTCTTACTGATTATCTTGATACTTTGTTATTTGAGCTTGCCGAGCGGGTAAGGGACTGCGTCGAGGCGATGCCGTGTGTCCCGCATCTTTAGGCTAGGAATAGGACTTAGCCAGCGGCCCCTCCCCAATTTTCTTCTCTATTGTCTCTAACTTGCTCTGTACTTTATTAAAAAAAAGATGTCACGACCGCTTATGTTCCAGTGCGCTGTGAGCACGGGGCCTCGTTGCAAGGCCGGGCAGGGGAAATCCCGGGAAATCTGGAGAAAGCCGCAGTGATGCCAACGTCACTGCCCAATTTTCTTTTTCTTTTTCCCTCGTAATGTAAAGTCACAATCTAGAAAACCCTGCACATTACTGCACCCATTATAGAAAATTTGGAGTTGGATTGAGGCGCAAGCTGTGTTTCCGTTCCGCGCGTTGTTTTGCCATTTTGAGCCCGGAACCTTGCAGCGGGGACTGTGTCGGCAGCGTGCTGCCCTGCGTAGCCCTGCGTACTCAAGCGGCGGCGAGGGAGGGACGCAGCCAACATACCCCGTCTTACAACCCTAACTTAATATACTTATACTTTTCAGTAGATTTGATTTTAGCATTTAATACGATCGAATCAGATCTTATCCTTACTAGGACAGTTTTCTAACTACTGCTTCGGGGAAAAGGGATAAACTCTTTTGCTTCTTTCACGTATAATAAAAGAAAGCGGACGATAAGAAGGGTAAAGTAGCAGAACCGTATGGTGTCTGGAATTCCGCAGTTCGATTGCTCACTATTAAGGCGTACGTTAACTAACGGCTTACATTTCGTCTCCTTTGTGTTGCTATTTCTCGGTTGTCTGTCGATAAAAATTTCCACTTCAAGCCATTCAATGAATATGAAGCTTGTAAATCAAACATACCCCAGGACAACCTCTCTCCCTTTGTTAGTCACATTATTTTTTTCGTATCTTCGTCCAATTCCGACCAAATTTTTACTGAAACGAAACTCAGTCCATTGTTAATTTAATAATAATGAAAATTGCAAAGCGACAAACTCTAGTCACTAGGAACGATAAAGATATTCAATCTTTCAAGCCCCATTTCTTATTAAAAGTCTCAAATTAAGAACCCGTAGTCGTTTGTAGTGATATTTCTATTTCCGTGCAGTTGTAGCATAGGGCTTAGAGCCATAGCGCCGCGCCCGCTTTGCCTGTCTGGCGGGGATCTGTTGAGAAAACATGGCCTTATACCATGTTGGGTGGGACTTCCCTTCGCCTTGTTTGGACAGCACTCGATGACAATAAACTTCCCATTGTGAACCGTTCGCATTTCCTGTTTCCTTTCGGATTTGCAAGCCCCTACGATGAATCAACGATATTTGAACCCGCTTATCATCGGATCCCCGAAAGGTATCGTGACCTCAGCCACAACGGGCCGTGTCAGTCGAGGCAGAGCATCAACTTATCAGCCATCTTATACGTACGCTTGCGTAAATGTGGATGAATCACGTGAATGTGCGTGTGTGTGCGTGTTTCAGTGCCAGTGCGAATGTACACGTAGGCGCGGGTGTGTGTTTGTGTGTGAGTGGGTATGCCTGCGGAAGAGAGGGAGAGCGTGTGTGCCTGAGTGAGTGAGTGCGAAAGTATCCTGCCAAAGATTACAAACCTATTTGGGGGTGGAACTAGTGAGTTGTTGGCCGCGCCGGGTCGTTCCCGCCCACTCAGTGTTAACTGCAGCGAACAAAGGCGCGGCGTCCGATTCGCTAAATGAACGACATACCGCAACATACCGTTCAATAAGGATTATTTACCGCTCACGATGAAACTGGAGTGAACCCAATCGCCCCGAGTGTTTTATTGCTAAAACAAATGTTATTTCCTAAGAAACTAATTTCATATTGGATAGGTAAACGGTACAGGTTTCAATCATTACTTCTTGTTGAATATTTTATTGTACAGAAACAAACACATTAGTTTTGAGCACTGTTTTAAGTGCTTAATAAATTTTTGGGCTGTGTGAAGCTTCAAAATAATTAGGGTTGGATTAGCCTTTGTCTAGCTCCAAAATAACAAACACCCATTGTTCAGATCTCTTTCATTCCTCCATCATTTTTGTTGTTTCTTTTCCTAGCCCGTCGGTACTGGGCCGGCCGCCCGCTCACCATATGCCACAATAAGTCGTAGGTGTAGAGCACCAACCAATCCAAAGGTCCATCGAATGAGAGCGAATGTTTAGAATATAGTTCCATAATGTTATACATATCCATTAAAAGACTCCTCCTCTGACCGATAAATTGGTTTGTTGTGTCGCAGCACATTTAAACAACCAAATGCATGAGAAGGAAATTTCATAATTTCTCAATGCCCTCCTGTGCTGCGGATTGGCTTCAGCCCCAATCTTTAAGTTTATATTTCAGTTACTACTATGTATATTTGCATTTTGTTTCTTTTGTTATAATTTTAATCACCAGCCCCATAGTAGGAATACAGAACAAGCCTATGAAAATAATGCAGCTGCAAAATTCGATTGCCTGTTGGATACAAATGCTATATTCTTTGCACAGTACCTTCTATCACTCCAATGAAATCTGATATTGCTCAATGAAAGTCGAAGGTAAAAGGAAAACGGCTAATCATTGGTTCTGATTACCTAAAATACTGCATAAAAGCAAGAAAGGGAGAAAAAGAGTGAAGGAAGGAAGGAAGGAAGGAAGGAAGGAAGGAAGGAAGGAAGGAAGGAAGGAAAGAAAGAAAGAACGAAAGAAAGAAAGAAAGAAAGAAAGAAAGAAAGAAAGAAAGAAAGAAAGAAAGAAAGAAAGAAAGAAAAATACTGCAAAGTTTGAGAATTGTTTAGAATTTGCTAGAACTAGTTCTAATGAGTATGCCAAGAAACACAGTATGAGAGTGCACAGGAATCTTTCAAAACAAAAACAGCAACAGTAAATTTTATCATTTTTGCCACAGTTTAAATAAAGGCTATGCTTTCCAGAAGCTTCATTAAGACAATGTGAAGCAAATTGCACCTGCCAGACATCCTTGGCATTTTGCAAACTTCACAGCACAATACTGTAATTATATAGAATTCCAACTTTTATTAACGCTAGTTCTTCATCCTAGACTTTAACAGATCATGAAAATTTGTTACAATTTAATAAATTTTATGTGTGTTGATTATTGTTTACATTCCTCCTATTTGTATGGGGCATAACATCAGGCTAGTAAAGTCAGACACAAATAAACAAATTGCAGTTTAGGGGTCAGGGAGTAGCTTGGTGACTCTTGCAGAAAGCCCCAGAGAAAAAGGTACAATCGCCAATAATTTAAGAGCAGAATCTTTTCAATTTTGTGATTTTAAGAAATTAAGCTTTTAAATTATTTGAATCTGATTTTTTCATACACACCTTAAGGCGCCAATGAATATTTAAAAAAATACAAGAATTTTTTGGATCTAATTATCTTACTTATTTTAAGAAGGCTACAAATACTGCAAGGCCAAAGAACTTAAAAAATTTAATGAACCTAGATCACCAAACAGAGACTTAATTTGGTGAGATATAGAACAAAATGTGTGGTCATGACTCTAATATGAATACTACGAGCCAGATCTTCCTTGTGTGAGCATTTTCATCTGATATGTTAACAGCTATTTGTGAAACCGAAGAGCACCAACAGTGGCCAGAAAAGTGATATGAGAAAATGAGGTAAATAACTTTGAGACTATAGAACTTTGTTGGAATATGTACATGCGCTGTATGCGATTTTGTGCCTTTGGACTATTGGGGAATCTGTATTTAAGCTCGCCATGGGCTTTGCTGTGACATGTTGATATTTAGAGTGGGACCTGTGGTATTGCCAGCTGCAGAGTCCAAGCAGCTTTATTTGTGTTCTTACCTACAATTCAATGATACCCTTGTGATATTTCACATTTATATTGTAAATACTTTGATGGATAAGAAATATTAGCGGGGAAAGGATAAATAAAAGAAAATCTAAATGTTAAGAAAAGCATTTTAAACTTGGAATCCTGAAGTAACGCCAAGTATAACATTCACTCTATGGTGCAACGCAAGCAGGTCTTGCAACTGCACTTCATAATGGTCCAAGGTAAAACTTAGCAAGGAAGCTACCCAATGCCTATGCAGTATAGAAAAAAAAAGGAACCTGTGGGCACCATTAATCGTGGGGGAAAAAAAAACACAATTATTTTGGGGAAAAATAATTTGGGTGACCTCAATGTCACAATTTCTGGGGAAACTCATTTGGAACAGCACTGAACAAAAGGTAAGGAATGCTTAACTCAAAACATTCCTTCCGATCATAAATTCACTTGCCATGTTCAGCCATCTGAATTTTTTGACAAATTATTTAAAAAATACATTACCAAAGTCCACTAATAAACCTCAGTGGAAGAGCTACCTCATCCATTTTTTAATTTATCATTAATTAAGATAAAATGCAGTTTCTACCAGGCATTGTAATGATGTTCCAAGTGCGCAAGTTTTGTTCACAAAACAAAGGTTGATCCATATCGAAAACATTTGAATGTATACCATGGTGATTTATAATTAATGAGAATTTATGTAAAATCCAATGTAAATGTTTGATATTGTATTGGGTGCTCCACAAGAATTTTGTTTTATGTATAAAACTTCAGGTTTCAAATTGATGTTATTTTCAAGTCTGATTCCTTGCGTATGAAAAGTATTTTATATTTAGCATAAGATGAATTATTTCATTGTGTGCTCCACATTCATGATTGAAAGGATGCACTTTTCCAGCATTCTCTGGTCAAGTACAACTGCATTCAAAATGCACCATCCTGTAAGTGGCTGACGGAGCGCCCTTTGCATGTGGCTCTTATGACAAAGCAATTGGATTGGTAAGTTTGTTGTTTCCGTTGTTGTTCTTGTTGTTGTTATTTTAGCAGAACGTTTGGAGCGGACGTCTCAGGCCCACACTGTACAGTCGAAACTTTGTCTTGACTTCGGCATTGTATATAATAAAATGGAAAGGTTGAGTTGCTTGTGTAACTTTTATTATGTTATTCTATTCTTTCCAAACATGGCCAAATATTACCACATACTACACCAGTTTCAATTAAATTAAATTTTGGAGAATAAAATGCTGATGTACAAATTTAGATCTCAAAATGTGTAAAGAAGCCAGCTAGGTCTATGAGAAAGGAGGCATGCTGCCGTTTTCCTGGGTAACTTGTGTAACATCTGAAATACTGAATCTCTTGAGAGTTTATCCTCACCTTGTTCTGGCAGCAGTAATGGATCCAAACACAGAAGAGCAGATACAACTTGGCATGGTTCGGCATACAGAGCACAAATATCTTCATTTCTTGTTTGGCATTCAACCTCCACTTTTGAAATAAATGCCCTGATTAGTGCTTGTACCCCCGGGTGAGCTTCACTAACCACCATCATGTGTGTTAAAAGATGGCAGACCTTCTGTCAACATTTTAGAAATAAAACAATTAGTAAAGAGCAACTGCCACTATTGAGTAGGGAACAGAGATATATATTTACTTGAAAAACAACTTCAGATAGACTGCAAATCCTTAACATTGTTGAACCGATTACTGTTTCAAGTGATTCATGGGCGCTTTGTCCTTCACTCCCGACAGATTTCCTACCCAACCAAAGAAGTGTCTTTTCCATACCCAAAAAAGACCTCTCAGTCATGTTGATCAAAACTTCTACTTTTATGGGAAGTTCCCCTGCAAGAAAAAAGGCTGTTAGGTCATTGACAAAAATTCATGTAACAAAACGTATTTTGAAAGTATCTTACCCACAGAGTTCCATACTTGAGCCAAAAATCGGTGATGAGCAGTGGTGAGGTCTTTCTCTCTCAAAATATGGCTTACTAGCAGCAAACACATTTCACCGGCCTGGAGGCGTGACTGGATTTCTGAATTTGTAGCAGCACTAAGCATAGCATAGCACAGGGCCAACTGTTGCTCTGCATCACGTTTATTCCAGTCCTCAATATTTGTAAGGATTGGAGCACAAACAGCAAGCAGAGACTCCACACATTCTGGAGCGCTAAGTGAGCGACCAATCCAAGTAGTGTGATCCAAGGCATCAGATTTATACCTTCCAGTACACCACTGCCTCAGCAAAGACTGGGAGAAGAAGCAAACCATCAAGAACATTCTAAGAATCAAATTACAGAAATAGTACATGACAATTTCACTTCACCAACCACCAGTTGATTCCTTAAACCAGGCTTCCCCCTAGCCATGATATTCGAAATGGACTGTGCCACACGAGACACAGTAGGGGGATCCAAGAACGGGTACTGTGGCTTCCATTCATGCTCTTGTTCATCGGAAAGTTGGAGAAGAATCCGAAGGATATCTGAATCATCGATGAGTTGACTTTTTGAAGGGGTTACTGCATTCATCTGGGACATGAGCCTAACGTAAACAAAATATTTTCTCACAAGTAACACAAAAATACAAGAATAATATAATCCCTTGTGACAAGTTTAGGTTACAGACTCTACTCACATCTAGTAAAGTGCGTTATTCATAGATTCTAAATCAAAGACGATGGATTTTGATATCAGGATCAAGTTCCGAAAACGTGTCATTGGATGACATACTCTATTTTCCACGAAACAAGGGACGTTAAAAATAAAAACACCGGTGGAACACTCTGCTTTGTGTTTAGTGTTTACCCGGAAACAAATCAAATACAAATAATGTTGCCAACTTCCAACACCAACGTAAACGATAACTCTACTACTTTTCATAGCTACGTCGGAACTCTGGTCGGAAAACACCTTGAAAATAAAGCAACAATTTACAATGAAAATCTCTGTAAGAACTTCCTCTCAGAATGATTCCATCTCAAATATACGTCTGTGGAATGTCTAGTTGTGGTGAAAGGAACCAACTAAGGGGGCGGAATGCAGTATGTGGGGAGAGGGGAGGAGGGGAGTAGTGGAAGAGGAGAGGGGTAGGGTTATTGCGTGCCCGAAAGTTTGTGTTGTGAGTCGGTCGGTTATAACGTTATAACCGTTAAGAGACCAAAACATCTGCAAAACATTAATATCCGTAGGAAAACTGAGTGCTCCTGGAAGCTTGCACCGTGGTACATTTTCTTGAAAGAAACCCGGAGCACTAGAAAAGGATGTGCGTTGGAAAGGTTGTGAAGGGGATTTGTCACTGTCCCTGTTTCGTCTGCTGCCTTTGACCCCGGCTGCTGATGGCCATGACAGCTTTGTGAGGTACTTATGGTCCACCCTTAGGTGTCCAGCCTTTGACATTGATTTAGACGAATTATATTGCGCAGCGATCTTTTCAAGTCGAACTTCTAGTCGTATTTATGTTGGAAGAGGTACCGTGATTTTGGTCTAGGAAATCTGTTTTGAGACCTTGGTTGTGAGGTAGAGGCCTCAGTGGGTGGTTGAGGCAATTTTCTGAAAAATGGTTAATTTTCTTTGACAATATTAAGAATGAAATTGAATTCCAAAAAGTAAAATGGACTTTCCAATCAAGTCTCCAAAGTTGTATTTGAATGTGACACTCTCTGGGTTACATTATTCTGTCTCGAAGTGTATCTTGAGTGCGCAATATCACATTTCTTCCTTCTTTGTTTCAAATAGGGTTCATGATTCCCATTTTTCATATAAACGTCGGAAGGCACCCAATTGTCTTCCATTCAGGATGTGTATAGACTGTAACATTGACTTGGCTCGTTAGTTGGCACCATATTTCCGATGTGTATAAAATCTAACCTGATTCAATTCTGGAACTCTGCATGTGCCTGAGTTCTGTATCATTTGAACTTCCTTCTCTTCTGTCATTCTAGGACTCTGCTGGTGTACAAGAAAATAAAGCAAATATGGAGGCCCTCAGGTGCTTACCCCAAGAAGATGCCACCCCAGTTGCTGCCTTGTAAGTCATTTGTATTGCCCATTTAAAAATTTCTTTTATCTTCAATATTGTTTCAACCTTTAACTGAACTTCCTTTAATTACAGAACATGTTCCATTCATGAACTTCCTCATGAAATACTAGTTTCAATCTTCAGTTACTTGAAACCCAGTGAACTCTTATATGGTGTTGGTATGGTTTGCAAGAGGTGGTGTGAGCTCTCTAAAGAACCTTTGGCCTGGCAGAAAACCTCATTTTCTCTTTGGGATGACACCCGCATATGGCGTCATGCTCCCTTCATTGGACATTTGGAAATTCTCGCTCCCAATGAAACTGAAGTTGAAAAAGTTCGTCAACTAGTTGCTTCAACAGGACCAGCTTGTGTGCGATCAATGAGAATTATCTTAAGGCATCCTAGGGATGCTTTAGGTATTCTTCGGAAGTATGAAGATGTTATTCGCACATTAGATTTACAGGTAATTTTAGCGGTTGGTTATCTATTTTAACAGTTTTTACTTCAGTCTCTTTCTATTATTTTATTATTGCTTACAGGTGGGAGGCCAAGATGCATTTCCTCATGACTGGCGCGAGTTCTTCGACGCAATTGGCATGCTGTCAGATTTACGCAGTCTTTCTGTGCGTATCTCACCAGTTCTCCCTGATATTCCATACGACAAACAAATATCTGCAGGATGCCGTGCACTGCGGTCTCTTCGTGTTCGTGGCCAGGAATGTCTTGCTGCAGATTTGGTCCGCGACCTTGGTGGTATTGTTTCAAGCCTGGTCCTTAGCTGTAGTTTTGATGAGCACTCTCACAAACTGATTCAAGCCTTGTCAACATGTACAGCAGTTAGGGAGCTGACCTTGCCATGCTGCATGATAGCTTCTGTGTCACATGTGCAATCACTGCAGTCACTGAAACTGATAGCAGATCATGGTCCTACTGCTATAGATGATGCAATTCTGTCTGCATGTCCAACATTGCAAAAAATTGAAAAGCTGGAGGTTTGCAACTCTCGCACACAAAATGCTCCTGAATTGGGAATGAATCGATGTGTATCTATGATTGCTCGGCATTTGAAGAACTGCCACTCTGTGGATCTTAGAGGGTTACGTACACTTGATGAATACCTATCAGAATTCATCAATGAAGCCAAAACAGTGCAATCTTATGAATTGATTTGCAAAGTGTACCATCTCCTACAGCTCGAAAACTTAGAAAATGTGAGAACAGTCAGAGCTGTGTTAGATACTCAGGGCATGGGTGTGCCCTTTGTCTTAAATACTGTTAATAGACTGAGGGCTCATCCCAAAAAAATATTTTACATTCATTTTCATTACATGGGTCATTAGAACCCGTTTCATTCAAATCATGTTTGTACTTTTTTGAAATTCATTATCATAGTCATTTCGTGTTCAGTTGAAACCTTCCTATATCTTCCTTCATGTAGTCAAGTAATAATTATTATAAAGTCCTCTACATTTCTCTTTGTTTAATGTATATTGGAGCATGTCTATAACCACTTAGTTACCACTGCGGGAAATGCTTCTCTAGCCTAGTTACCAGCCTTGGCTCGTTGAAGGGAACAGTCAGAATTTCGTCAAGAAAAATGTAGTAAACAGTAAGGAGCTGTAGTCCACATCTGTTGTCAAACATCTTCTCATAAATCATGTATAGTGGTTAGAATTAATTTTATGTGAAAGCTTAAAATTATGGTGCATGTGTTCAACACAAACTTTTCTACACTGCTAAAGCTGTATCAATAAAGTGTTGTACATTGTTGCTTTTTTTTTTTAAAAAAATCACTTCAACTCTGTGATAAAGATTAATTTGTATATGTGCTCTAGGACTTCTTTTAAGTGTTAAAGGTTGTGAAATCTTTTAATGAATTAAGTGAATGTTTCCTTTTCTTAATAATGAAATTTGAAAAGTCTGTTTTTAGTCTGCAGCATTGTGAACCTCCATTATAGTGAAATCACTAGAATTGTAGTTGAGTTGAATCTTGGATTACATATTAATTTTAATGAATTGTTAAATGAAGAAGAGGAGTACACACTCTTCTTATATATTTATATACATCTATCACTATTATGGATGATCACTGTCAATTTTGCTGATAATTGCTCTCCATTTTGATGCTTGGCATATTCATTCCTTGTTGTGTTGCTCTAGAATTTTATTTTTCCTTATTATTGTGTCAAACTATTATCCTTTAGTTGGTATTTCTGGTACCAATATTGGTATGGCATATTCAATTTTCGCAATATAGTTATAATTTTTGTGTATTTTAATCGTAAGCAAATCAATATATCACCATTCATTATTTTAATTTGTGTTCTCTTTAAGGCAATGTCATGGTCATGTCTTTTATATTATTAACTACATGTGTACTTAATGTGGCATGTATTGCATTTTATTATGCTTCATCAGACTCGATGAAATTTTTTCTCTGTTCTTGTTTGTTGTTTTTGTTTTTGTTTTACTGAGGGATCTGCTTTTAGTTGGACTCAGACTCAAGGTGTGTGAGAATTGGACTTTTGATATCCATTCTCAAAAAAATTTGTGCAATCCTCAAACTTTTCCTTTTTTAGTTGAGTTCTTTCATTCTCATTTGAGAAAAAATCTCATTTACCAGCTGCTATAATGTGTTTCCTTTTGAATACCATTAGCAAATACTTTTAAGACTATTGTATTGATCACTTTTATACTTAGAAAGTAGTCATTACATCCTGTTGTTGAAAACAACGCGTGTAATAAATAAAGTGTCGCCTTTATTGATAGCCAAATTTCACACAGTTTATTTTCCTTTTCCTACTCTATCAGTCTTGGGTTCAGTCTCTGAAGGGCCGCTCGTCGTCCGCCAGCTTGACGTACTTCTCGGAGCGCTTCCACATTTGCTCGGCCAGCCCCGGGACGTTGGCCGGCCCGCCCGGCGCGGTCACCTTGAGGTCCGAAAAGTACTTGCCCGTCACCCTTCCGCCCTCCTCGGACACGGCGAGGTGGATGGTGGTCTGCGCGCCCTCCGCGGCGCTCTGCAGGGGAAGCGTCGCAAAGCGTCGTCAGACACGTCAGAACGGCTCGCGCGATTTGAGAATCGACGACAGCGCGGGCGCTTACCTTGAACAGCAAGCCGATCCCTCTGTCCGCGACGTTGCGGATCCACGCCGTCTTCACGTTCCTCAAGATGTCGGTCTGCACCACGCCCGGGTGCAGGCTGTTGGCTGTCACGCCTGTCGAAACGGAAAGTGACCGATTTCAACGACCCACGTGCGCGACAACGGGCCGAGAACCGGCACTGGGGCACTGGCAACCCCGAGAGCCGCACCGCGCACCTTTCACCTTCTGGGCGATGTACTGGGCCGTGAGAATGTTGCACAGCTTGGAGTTGCAGTACAGGTAGAAGCCGTTGTAGCTTTTCTCGCAGTCCATGTTGTCAATGTCGAAGTGGCCATAGGGGTGCGCCATAGACGAGACCATGATGAGCCGGCTTCCCTGCGTCTTCCTCAACAGGTCTGCGAGCAACAGGAGACGCGGCTGTAGCAAGCCTCATCTTTTAAGAGAGGCTGGGAGCGCCTGCGAGGTGGGCAGTCCCGTTGCACGCCGGTGTCGCGCACGGCCTCGGTGGCCTACGCTGCAGGCGGCTGGGAGCGCCTGCGAGGTGGGCAGTCCCGTTGCACGCCGGAGTCGCGCACGGCCTCGGTGGCCTACGCTGCAGGCGGCTGGGAGCGCCTGCGAGGTGGGCAGTCCCGTTGCACGCCGGAGTCGCGCACGGCCTCGGTGGCCTACGCTGCAGGCGGCTGGGAGCGCCTGCGAGGTGGGCAGTCCCGTTGCACGCCGGAGTCGCGCACGGCCTCGGTGGCCTACGCTGCAGGCGGCTGGGAGCGCCTGCGAGGTGGGCAGTCCCGTTGCACGCCGGAGTCGCGCACGGCCTCGGTGGCCTACGCTGCAGGCGGCTGGGAGCGCCTGCGAGGTGGGCAGTCCCGTTGCACGCCGGAGTCGCGCACGGCCTCGGTGGCCTACGCTGCAGGCGCCTGGGAGCGCCTGCGAGGTGGGCAGTCCCGTTGCACGCCTGTGTCGCGCGGGCCCATGCTTTGAGCTATTCGCTTACCTAGCAGCAAGCAGGTGAGCAGGAACGGGCCGAAGTGGTTGGCCTGCATGCCCATGGTGAGGCCGTCCGGCGTGCGCTGGTTGGGCAGCCCCCCCGCGCCCGCGTTGTTGATGAGCACGTCCAGGCGGGACTCGGTCTGCAGCACGCCCTTGGCGAAGGCACGCACCGACGCCAGCGACAGCAAGTCCAGCTGTCGGATCAGCACGTTGCGGTTGCCCGTCGACGCTACGATATCGTCTGCATGCACGCGTCACGACAAGGTCAGTCGGCACCAAGCTTTCCGACTTCCCGACATATCTCGCTGATTCAATGTAGAGTTTTCAGAGTGGTGATCATTGTCGTAGACATGTCGGGCAGGAGTACCCACACCTACTTTCGTCCGATCAATCAGACCCGATGCCACTTGAACTTGCAGGTGTGCTCTAATCTCGCCTTGGAGCTTCAAGTGGCCCGGGGCGGATGGCGGATGTGACCGTGAGACCCAGACCTCAGACTCACCCCTCGCCTGGTCGGCCTTCTGGAGGTCCCTGCACGCCAGGATGACCCGGGCGCCGCGCGCCGCCAGGTCCCGCGCCGCCTCCTTGCCGATGCCTGCGCGAACCAAGCCAGAACAAAAATGCAACTCCTATGACTCCCATTGACGACTGCCCGAGGCGCCTCGATGATTGGCGACTGGACGCAACCGTGTTGCGATACTAGTTTGGCGAGTTATCGACGTCACGACGACGTTATGGTAATGCTCTTGGCTCGGCTTACCCGTGTTGGCCCCAGTCACAATCACCACCTTGCCGTCGAGGCGCGCCGTGCACCGGCAGCGCCCCATGGTCATCTTGTTGTACGCGCGGACGGCCACCATGAGGCCCACCACGACCAGGACGATTGTCAACACGGCCATGGTCGCGGAAGTTGCGGTCGGGGAATCGGGGATCCGCGCTCCGCTCGCCTCCTCGGTCTGAGGCAGTCTGAGTCGGGGTGCGACGCGCGCGGCAGTCCCTCTCAAACAGCTGATAGAGGAGTACTGTACAAGAGTGTAACTCAAGGTGCAATGCCTTGCACAGGAGCGGTCAGTCAAGAGTGAAAGACTCATAAGCTCGAGTACACTGAAATTCAAACTCGCGAAATTTCAGTTGCAACTGATTCGCCAAAATACATTCCAATTCGAAAATTGTTGCACTTTTGTTCTGTGCCATGGTAGAGTGGCTCTCTGCCAAATTTAAGATGGTCCAAACAAATGGCTCTTAGTAAGGTTGGTGGTAAAGGGGCATGGAAAACAAAATCAGAGTTTAAAAATTTTGGAGTCATGTATTATTTAAAATGGTGTGATAAAAAAATATTACACTTAAGTCCTAATATATAAAAAGAAAACCAACAAGCATTAAAACTTAAACCAATGAACACCCAGAATTGACTAGCTTCATTACAATCATGGCCTTTCAAGTATATTAAAAACAGCTAAGAAGTCAAATGGAACAAAAACACTACACGTGCTACCTTTATCACAGAAACAGTCAGGCAGCTAAGGAATCCTAACTTCTTAGCGCATTTTCAGCAGCACTCGGGTTGCAAGAAGGCACAACAGTTTAAAATCAGAGTCCAAATGCGCACGCCAAAAACGACACCGGCCCCACACCATGGGAGAGAAATTAGGACTGCCGATGCCATGAAAAATGCGAGCCACCGCCCGTCCTGTGAAGCTGCATTCTTTGTACATACTTACTAACTGTCGAATATCGTTAGCAATTTGGTCACCATTTTCAAGTTTTTCCTGAAGCAGAGGAATGTGCACATGTATAAGAGTATAACATAATTACTGACCTACCATCATCTTACGAGAATTGTAAGAAAATCTTGAAAACAAAATGAATTTGTACCTCAACTATGAGTTCCTCAGTCATATCAAGTTCCCCTTGGAAATATGCCCGTACCACACTCTTCAGATTGTTAGATTTAGATTCAATTTCCTCATCATCTGCAGACATCACAGCATTAATGTGGGGGAAAGATACACTGCAAAAATAACAGAAAAACAATACATTGCAACAAAGTAAGACTTTATATTTATAGACAGATCATTACTACATATTATTTATTTAACTTGAGCCTACCTGGTAACAGCCTTAAATATTGTCTGCAATTGGCGTAGAGCAGATTGCTCTTGCTTGACAACTCTGTCATGGAGAAAGTCCAGAGCCGCATCAAGCTTTTCAGGTGACAAATTGCCAGGGGTTTTCAATCGGAAACCCAAATTGGAGAATTCCACTTTGATCCCCGACCGTCTTGAACTCCCATTAACTAACAAAAGAAAAGATATTGAAGAAATTTTCAGCTTAAGGATTTGATTTGGACCTACTTTGAAGAAGTCTTAAAGCATACCTTTAGTCCACTCCAGGTTCATGAGCTCTCTTTTAACAATCCCACTATCCCAACCAATGGCACTTGCAATTTCCACAACAGGAAACTCAATAGTGGGACTAGATTTTTGAGATTCCCCTGATGTAATTTCCATAGCAATAGCCATTGCCAAAGGAGGACACTGAATGAGAAGTATAAATTTAAAAAAGAGCCGCTCTTACACAACTTAAATTAGTGGCATGTTTCTGAACTAACCGTTCTTGCTACCTCCCTCAAGTGCCTAATTCCTTTGTAACTCTGCACCTTACAATGAGTATATGCTCTGGGCATAACTTGAATAAGGTTCCTGTCATGTAGTTCCAAGTAGCACAGGAGAGTTGTGATGTTTTCCTCAGGAAGGTCCAAAGCAGCAACAGTCTCTTCAACACTGAAGGCTACTTCATGGCCAGTACAAGCCTTAGAGTCCTGCATTTCAAAAGAGATTAATGGTATTAACTCTCAAGAATAATTGTAAAATCTCCTCAAACACAAAGGAATAAAGTTAAGCCAACTCTCTTACCAAATGACTTACTTCTGTAACCGGATCACTTAAAGCAGTTTCCTCGTTTGTACCCTCTCTTTTATCATCAGAAGATTCAGCTATGTTGCTAGGTTTAGTAGTGCTTTTGTTGCACTTGCAAGGCACAAATACTCTTTGGAGTAATTTTCTGATTGTGTGCCTATCGACAGAGTCCCCAAATATATGCCTTCTTAATTCATTTAAATCTTTACCCTATAAAAATTGAGGCATTAAAATAAAATAAAGCATTGTTTATATTATATAATCATACCAAACAGTAAAATTTTTACTTCGTTGTTGAGGAAAAGATGACATCTGGAGACTTCACCATCTCGTCCAGCTCGACCAACCTCCTGTACATAACTCTCAAAGTTGCGGGGCATATTGAAATGAATGACAGATCTAATATCTGCTTTATTGATTCCCATACCAAAAGCCACAGTAGCCACAACAATACGGGTATTACCTAAATACATTAAACAAGAAAAAGAGCAGGATGTACATTAAGGCATAAACAGGAAGGAAAGTGCATGTTTCCAGTGGAAAATTTACCTGACATAAAAGATGTTTGAACTTGTTTTCTCCTCGCAGAGCTGAGCCCGGCATGGTAAGCCTCAGAAACTGAAGAAATTTTTACTTTCCCAGCCTTAATTTCATTTTGGTCCTAAAGATCAATGAAAATATACTTAACAAATGATTGTAGCCTTCATAATGGAACAAACAGTGTTGTATGGTCATGAATATACCTTTAGATAAGTTCTGAGAAGTCCAGCAAGTCTTTCACACTCTTCACGGCGTATGCAATATACTATGATTGATTGGTAAGTCTGGTATTCCGGGGAGCTTAGAAGTTTTACCAGAGCTTGGTCACGGATGGAATCTCTTGAGACAGAAAGTACCAAATTGTTGGGTAAAGGTGTATCCTGTATTACTCCCAGACGTCCATCTGGAATTTGCATGTGTTCAATAATGCTTGACACAGCTGTTTGTGTTGCTGTTGCTGTCAATCCCAAAATAGTTTGGACACCAAGTTTCTCACGCAGAACCTTAAATATAACAAGGTATGATGGCCGAAAGTTGTGAGACCACTGTGAGACACAGTGAGCCTCATCAATGCAAGCAAAAGCTATGTCTGGCAAAGACCTCAACAACTTTCCAAATCCACTCTGCCTCTCGCCAGAAACCACAGCCTCAGGGGATACAAGAAGAAATTGAAGTTTCCCTTCTCTTGCCATGTCCATGACCTTCTCCCTCTGCTTTTCTGTCTGCCCAGTGTGTAGAGCAGCTCCATTAATGAAAGAAGGTAAGCCAGAAATCTGAAAAAAGTCACACACATTAAAAAAATTCCTAAACCTAATTACATTTTATCCAACACATAACAAAGAATAAACTACTTGCCTGATCATCCATGAGAGAAACTAATGGAGACACAACTAATGTTAGACACTTTCTTTTAGTAGCAAACAAATAAGCAGGCAATTGATAACATAGCGATTTTCCAGAGCCAGTGGATAATGTGACTAAAGTTGACAATCCAGATAAAATCCTCATCACTGCGGCTTCTTGACCAGGCCGGAACTTTTCATGACCAAATTTGTGTAAGCATTCATACACTTCTGCAGGTGTGTCTATGAGGGAACCATCCGGCTTAGTGGAATAGAGAGGTTCAACTGACCTATAAATTCTCTCTGGCTCACGAACTGGTTCCTGCATTATGCTAGCCTCTTGGATGTCTTGATTGTCACCAAGAGGAGACTCCCCATCAAGAGTTTCTTGATTACTCTCCTCAAGGGTTTTAGTGACGGAGTTTGCTTGAGAGAGAGGAGCATTTCTGGAACGAAGATGAACCAATCCACCTTTTTCTTTAGCCATCTTTTCTACTTCTTCTAAGGAAGGGAAAGGGCTTTCTTCAACATCATCCCCTTCACCAAGAGGCATTAAGCTGTCACCTTTCATCTTAGTACATTGCCTGGCAAAATGTCCAACATCTCCACATTGGAAGCATTTCTGGAGGCCTCCTCCAGCAGCTCCATCACTAGGATCCATTCGACTCATATGTACGCTAGCTTGGTCAGAAAGTTCTTTCTTCTTGTTTTTCCATTGTTGCTTCTTGTATTTCTGGAAGTTCATTGTCTTTTTACCTCTCACAAATACTTTCTTTTTCATGTTTATGCGGACAAAATTGTCATTTGCAGAGCCGGTAGCAACTTTTTTCTCTAATACATCCTTTTTGGACAATGCTGACTTTGATGACTTCTTACCACCACCAGCTGAATCAGAATCTTTGAGGCCATCTTCAGCTTTAAGATTAGAATCTACATCTTTCCCTTCAGCAATTGGCTCAGATCTTTTCAGCTTCTTCTTCGGTTGGGAAAGGTTCCTATCATTTTTGCGTCGTTCAGAAAGGACAGCCATTGCAGCCTCAATAGCATCTAATTTACGTTTCTTTACATGATTTTCAGATGTATCAATTACATGCTCAGTTTTGATAGCATCTGCAGAGCTTTGCATTGAAACAGGAGGAGGGGGATCTCTGGGCACAGTTGGTCGCAATGCAAGTCTAGCCTTTTCCTCCTTTTCAACTTTTCGGGGACTTTTACTCTCATTGTCACTTCCATAGATAATGTCATCATCACTGTCGTCAGATACAGCTGAGAGAGTTGAAGGGCCAGAATCACTTTTCATAAGCTCCACAGATGGAACATTTATATTTTCTTTTGCCTCCTGGCTCAAAATTTGATCTGCTTGCAAGACTCTTTCCAACCAACCTTTGTCAACAGAGCGGTCAAGTTTAGGTTTTGATGAACTAATATTATCTTCAATTAATTTCTGAACTGCGCTTATGTTCTTCATACCAGAGGGCATATCTTTTTTCACAAGTTTGAAGTCTTGGTTGGTTAGGTTCAAGTCTAATTGCATATTAGCTTGAGTTTCAAGATCACTGACTGAGAACCCATCCTCAAGTGCTTGGGAGTTGTCCAAAGAGAAAGAGGAATCTGGGGTTGCAGTAAGGCTGTCAGATGAAACTAAACTACCTCTCTCTTTGGAACGACCAACAGAAAATGAAAGAGATTTCCTTGGATTTCTTTTCTTTAGTTTGGCACCGACAAATAATTTCTCAGATAAATGAAATGACGATGATGCACGGTTCAGGCCCTTCTTCTGGGAACTGGTTTCAACACTCTTCTCTTTATTTAAGTGTGTTCCCCAGACTGAAGTTGGCAAGGAGTCAGAGGGTTCCTCTACTGATTTATTGCTCTCGACAAGCTCTTCCTTCGTTCCATGAAGAACAGACTTGACTTCAAGAGGTGGTTCTTCACGAGGGCATTCACGGTGAGGAATTTTGAAAGTCTGAGAAGGGTCCTCGCATGAGGGAAGTCCCTCAACCACAGTTGAAGAGTTAACTGGTTTCTCTTCAAATGAACTTGTGGGAGGAGCAATGTCTACTTTTCTGGGTTCCACAAATGTTGCATCCAACATTGAGTCTTGGCCGATAGCATGAATCTTAATTTGCCAGTACCATTTGTAGGCTTCTCGAATCTCACAGGGGGCTGCTTTAATATCATCCTAAAAAGTGCAAATTGCAAAATAAAAATTCAATATGGATAAATGTTTTACAAGTAAACAGGTAAATATTAGATAGCCACAAGCAAAAAAGATTTATTTACCTTGGAAGGATTGTTTCCCGTATTCTTCTTAAATTCACTCTCCCAGCGTTTAACTTTTAATTTGGATTTGGTGTACTTCAGTTTCAAGGCAGGATCCGACAAGGTATCCATGTTACAGATTTTTTGAGATCATTGGAAGATAGATAATGCCTTCTAACCACACATGTCAAAGACGTTGAATAACCGAGCCAGATATGAAACAGACTGTAATGTGGATTTCTTGAGAGTAAAGTCTGAAGTCAACACAACACTTACACTACCATAAAAACATAAAAGTAGCCCAGCAAAGCCAGAAGATAAAAATGCAAACTGACTGTGTGAACTAAGTACAAAGTGTCATTTCCCGCCTTTTGTTTACAGTGAGAGTTTTCTCATGATGTTCTGCACGTGTATGAGAAATTTCAACGCCAGCCTTCAAACACAAAATATTTACAAAAGAATGCATGACGATCATTGTTTCTTTGACAAGATTATAAGGGTTTGCTTTTCCTCTGAATTTTTTCACCCACTTACGGTTTTTTAACTACGGGTGAGAACGTGTTTTTAAATTACTTTGAGTTTGGTACTACTGCAAGAGTATGAGAACTTCATGCTGTTTGGCTAAATTTCTCATATCTGTATTCGACGCTTGTTTGTGTGTGTGTGCTTGTTTGAGAAGCCCTTACACTTGAAATGTCAATTTATTTAGGTCGTTTTGTTGAGTTTTAGGGTACATTGATGATTTTTTAAGGTCTGAAAGATATTCCTTGCTTTGTCAGCATTATGGACGTCCCGCCAATGATTTTTGCTGACCCGGCTCTTGTTGACACAATAGTAGGTGAATTAAAATCTCAAGGAACTTTTGATCAATTTAGAAAAGAATGCATTGCTGATGTTGACACCAAGGTAAGAGACATGTTTATGTTGCACTGTGTTTAGAGAAATGTCTTGTTCATATGATGTTCCGTTTTTGCTTAATCTATGAATCCTTGGAGTCCCTTTGCATTTTTAACCTTACAACACCAGTTGTTTTCTATTACGTTTTTTGCTTTTCTTGCATTAGCCTGCGTATCAAAATTTGCATCAGCGTGTGGAATCAACTGTTTCAAATTTCCTGTATGGAAAAACATGGCGACCAGACCTGAATAAAAACCAACTTCGTGATAGCCTTCGGAAACATATATTCGAGTAATGTATTTGTGTGATGACACTGTTTCTCAGCCATTTCTCAACCTATTTCATTTACCAAAGGTTGTTCTCTTTTCTACAGAATGGGGTTTTTAGAAACTGGTGTTGAACGAATTGTAGATCAAGTTGTTAACCCTAAGGTACACTCTGTTTTCATGCCTCAAGTTGAAGACGTTGTCTATAGAGTCCAAGGCATTCCTAAGCCAGATAAAAAGCCTTCAACAAATTCATCGTCCACCATTGGATCTGCATCCAAAACTGCAGGTACTTGAGTAGAACTTGTTATGACAGATGTTACCAAGTCTGCATTTTTACTCATCCTCAGAGCATTATCTGTTTACAGGAGTCTTCAATCAACCCCCATCATTTTTACCAGGATTGTCATTTCTTCCACCGGCTCTTCAAAACCACATGCAAAAACCATCAACTTTTGAGGTTACTATTTTTGACATTTCAACTTTTATTTCAAATGTTTGAACGGAAACTGTTGAAGTTGTTCAGAATAACTTGTCCTAAATAATTAATCCAATCAAACTACTGTTTAGGATTTGCTTCCCACTGACTTGGACCCAGTTTCACCTGAGAGCAGCAAGGACTCTGCTGATGGAAGTGAAAATGTGCTTGAGGAAAGTGGCATAATCACACAACATGATGATTCAATGGAATCTCAGCTATCGGGTATCTCAGACTTAACAAGCCATGGAAGTGATCATGGTGCAGCTGTAGGCTCTGAAATGAAGGACTTGAATGAAGATAGTCATCAATCCAAAGTTTCTTCAAATAGCAAGTATGTTCTGCCATTTCTCACTGAGATACATGTTTTATTGTTTGTTTTTGGCTTTGCTGGAAGAATTGTTGGTTTCTCTTTCAGGAAATCCAGATCAAATAAGATTAAATCTAGTGAAACTGAAGAACACACTAGTGCCCCAGATGCAAATACCTGCAATGATGAAGTTGAGCAAGCTTTAGCAGAAACACAAGAACACTTGTACCCCACTGGTCCTGTTGTGCAATACGGAGATCAGTTCTCTATGGAAGAGGAAGTTGCCACAACTGTCAGTGCTATTAATAACGAAGCTCCTAGCGAAAATAATGTTAAGAAAGATACAAATTATTTTGAAACTGACGGCAGCCTCAATTCAGAAGAGACCAAACTCAAAGTGGGAGAAAATAACTTTGATTCTGAATGTGCAAAATACTCTACGGAGCTTAGTGCCAATGTTGTGGATGACAACTCTTTTGCTCAAAGTGATGACTCACAGTTTTCAGGCTCATCTGACAATAAACTTCAAATTGATGAAATGAAGGACTTTAATTCACAGTCAGGAAACTCTCACCAACCTGAGGATGAGCACAGCTCAATGAAGACATCCTCTGAAGGGTTTCTAAGTGAAGACAACAGCAAAACAATGGTGGTTGAAAACATTGTAGAAGCATCAGAGGAAGCTCGTCATGGCTTTGAAGACAGCCAGGATGCCCTGGAAAGGCCCCCTTTGCCGCAGACTCCACCTGTTCCTCGTGATGCCCAAGACAGACCGCCTCTTCCGCCTGATAGCAGTCCTGACGATCTACAAAGACCTCCACTACCTTGTACCCCACCCCCTATTTCGACTGAGCAGGAAGCAATTCTTCCTCCTCCTCTGCCTCCACCCCCTTCTGATGATGTCATTGATGCTTTGCAGAGTACAACCCCACCTCTACCTCAAACACCACCATTAATTGGAGGGTTGGGCTCGTCTGTTGGTTTGGATCCTTTGCCAACACCATCAAGTGAGAAATGCCTTGAAACTGAAAGGATGGAGAAGGAGAAGGGAAGTTCTTCCCCCCGGTCCACAACTCCCACTGCAGAATTTCCAAGGAGTGTGCAACTGTCTGCAACGCCATGTGCACTTCCAGCAGATACACGGAGTTTGGAGCGTCCACCTTTGCCTGCAACTCCACCATTGCCTGCAACTCCACCATTGCCTGCAACTCCACCATTGCCTGCAACTCCACCATTGCCTTCAACTCCACCTTCGCCTACAACTCCACCTTTGCCTTCAACTCCACCATTGCCTGCAACTCCACCATTGCCTGCGACCCCACCATTGCCTGATGGATTTAGAGAGCTCGATCGTCCTCCTCTTCCTCCTTTGCCACCCCCTGCTGATATCCTAGAAGTAGCAGAACGCCCTCCTTTACCTATAACACCTCCCCTAGCCAAAAGACCTATAAGTCTTGAACGCCCTCCTACTCCTCAAGCTACAGCTTTAAATAGAACACCGCCACCTTTACCCGAAGAAGAGTTTAGCCGTGATTCAAATACGTCCCTTTCTTATGAAGAGGGGGCTGTTCCTAAAACTCCGTGTTGGGAACCTAGATCTCCCGAAGCAGAAGAAGAGAAACCGTCGTTATCGTCTCTTGAACATCTTGGAATCCCTGACCCAAGCAAAATGAGACAAAGTTTCATTACTTCACCCAAAAACAGTATTAATGGTCAAGGTAGAATATCTTTCAAGTTTTGTAGAAATTATGTTTTTACTTATTATTATTATTATTAATATTATTATTTAACTTTCCTCTTTTTTTTCAGATGAAGTTTCACAATCTGGGTCTGAAGAAATGCAACTAGCGTGGAGTCCTTTATCAAATCATGGTGATGAGGGAAATGATGATAGCAGGGGACAACACACAAGTGAAGAGAAGCTTCTTGTTGAAGAGACATCCTCGAAGGATCCTTTGACTAAAGGAAAGCTAAAGGAAGATAAAGGATCTGGTAACGAGCACAATAGAGAGTCCAAAAAGGATGATAAACTTAAAAGCGAAAGTGAAAAGCACAGGGAAAAGGATACAATCAAAGATGGAAAAAGCAAGGATAGACGAAAGGAGGATGACTCTGACAGGTCTCGCAAAGACTCATCAAGCTCCTCCAAGAGGCATGATGACAGGTCTGCGAAACATAGGGAAAGCAGTAGTAGATCGAAACACGATGATAAGAGCCGATCTGACAAAGACCGTGATCGCCATTCTTCTCATCATAGGTCTGATGACAGGAGGAGGGATGAGAAGAGAGACGATAAAGAAAAAGAAAAGAGTTCTTCCTCTAAACATAAATCAAGCCGCTCTGATGATCGACACCGACACAGAGAAAGAGACCCTAAACATAGTAGCAGTGGTAGTAGCAATCGCCATGAGGACAAAAGCCACGACAAATCTTCTAAATCAGAAGATAGATCTAAGTCATCTAAGTCTCATTCTAGTGATCGAGATCGCAAAGAAAGAGATAGCAGAGACAAGGAAAGAAGAACAGATAAAGACAAGGAACGGTCAAGGAAAGATTCATCCAGGAGCGATGAAAAGAAAAGGGAGAAGGAGCGTGAAAAGGAAAAGAGGGATAAAAGCTCTAACATTTGCCGTCCAAACAATGAAAGAAAATCTCCTGATCCGGACAGCAATAATGGCTCTACATTTGGTGGGAACAACCATGGCCCAAATGGGTCTGGAGTGAGAGATGATAACCCACAAGATAGTAGAAATCAAGACAGTACAAAGGGTTCTGGATCCACTGATTCTAATAGCAAAAGTAGTGATTCTAGTCAACAGAATAACTTGTGTGTTGATCTTCCTTCCACATCATGTAATCAAGGTGGTCCCTTGTCATCCCTTCCCCTCAAAAAAAGACCTCTTGTACCAGATAATGAGGTGTCACATGAGTTCTCTTGTAGTCAACAACTGGTACTTAAGATAAAGAAGTTCAAGAAATGCAATGATAAACCAAAAAGCAGAAAGAGTCGAAAAGCGAAAGCTCTAAGGAGGCTGGAAAAGGAAGCAATCAGGAACTTAAACAAACATTCTAAGCTGTTGAGTAAGGTAAGAATTTAAGCGGTCTTTATATTTACTTTTAAAATTAATAATTAGCTGTGAAAAATCAATTATTTATGAATATGTTATTCCAGGTTGATATTGTTGCTGAGACATCAGAACCTCATGATGTGTCTCCCACCAGATATTTTGAAAGTGACTGGCCTACAAAGTCAGATGACAAAGTTTTCTTGGCATATGTTAAAGATCTAGAGCAAAGCAAAAATTTATCTGGCCTTTCAGACTATTCAGAATCAGATTCTGAAGATGAAGAAATTCTTCATTCTGATGATTCCAAAAATCTTCATGGTGGTCTTGAAGACACAGATATAATTTTCTCTCTGTCTTTATTGCCAGAAGCCCCAGAGGGGAACTGTTATGATATGGGTCAAGACAGAAAGGAGAGAGTTTCAAAATATGGCAATTCCGTCAAAGCAACAAAGCGTGTTAAACAGAAGAAACCCTTTGAATCAGAGAGTCAAATTAAGCGTGTCAAGGTTATTGCTAAGGATGTTGAGACACCTGTTCCAACAGAACAAAAATCAAGACGTGCAAGGAAACCAAATAAGCGATACTCAAATGATGAGTTTACTTCTCATTTTGATAATGAGGATGAACTGGATTCTATAGAAGAGGAACCTCTTTCAGTATGTCATACGGGTGTAGTTTAGTTTGCTCTTTTCACTCTGTTTCTTTTAAAATGGGAGAAATCATCAATTTGTTGTATTTGTTTTTTTGTTTTTAGGTACCCACTAGTATATCTCCTCCAGTTGAAAAAAGTTCCGCATTAGCAAGCTCTACATCAACAGCACCTTGTGAAGATCACGAAAAATTGGTAAGTCCTACTTCTTGCTTTGGTAGTTCTTCCCTACCTAATAAAAATGATTTGCAATAAATTACAGAAGTCTATGTCCCATCCTGACATTGATCAGCAGGAAAAAGAAAACAAACTAAATTCGGAATCCAGTCAAACAGCTTCTGCTCCTTCCAAACAAAAGCCTAATCAGAGTGTCCAGGCAACATATTCGTGGAACAAAGATTCCTACAACTCAAATAGTGAGGTAGGTGCTTGTGCTTCATTTGCTTAATACCGTAACTTTCTTGAAACCATTCGGGAAAATATGAGTAAGCAAGTTCTCTATTTGCAGGATGAAATGGACAGTACAAACACTGAAAGTGATTTAATAGGGACAGCCTTGAAGAACCTCATGATGGAAAGTGGTTTAGGTGGGCCAGATGAAGGTGATTTGTGATGTCTAACCAAGAGATCATAGTGCATGTTGATTGTTTCTTAGTGTACTTTTTGGTCGTCCTGCACTGTGTGGGCTCATTTTGCGAGGGTGCTTGGTTATCTGCTTGGGTTTGTCTTGTCATGTTCTCATGAGCGAATGTGTGTCAGTCTGCTGAAGTTTATTTCAACCTGATTATATTTGTGATTGTAATTTATTTTTGTGTGATAGGAATACTGCGGCTTTTGTTGAACAAATTAGTGGCAAAAGTAGGTAGTAAAACATAGATAAAGTCTTGACTGTTGTTATTACTTAAAGTAGTCTTCTTGTATTTTTTAAAATATATTTTTGTTTTTTAAGAAAAGCATGGACTTGACAAGAAATCATGTTCAAAATTGAGGTGGAACAAGAATGAAATTAACTTTGATTTCCTATCAAGACGTTGAATTGTAAAATCCCATATATATATATTTTTTTTTGCTTTCTTTGATCATTGTATGCCTTTTTTCTTATCCAACCAGCATGATGGCAAAATGGCAAGACTTTCCAAATTTTTCAATTGTTTGTTTTTTAATCTAAAAGTGCTATGTATCTTCATTTCTGAAGACGCCATCCAACAAATCAGAAATTAATTATCAGTTCCTGGCTGATAATTGACATTCTTTCAAGGGATAGGCTATTTTTGCCTGTGATACTTTTCAGTTACTAATTGATCTGTTTTGTGTGTATGATTTTGTTACTCTCCTGCACTTTCATCCATTCTGTTCACACAGTTTTTGTTTTGGAATTGGTCATATTTGTGAGCTGATACTTTGGTACATCTAGAAATCTTCAATAGATTTTTTGTTGTAATTGAACTGTCTTATAAATCACTGATCTTTTTTTCTATGTTGGTAAGTGTTGGCTTATTTTTCCTGGACTATCAAATCATTGGTGGATGTTGATAATCTAGAACTCCATTACTCCATTCATACATTTTTTTTTCTGGCCCTTTCAAAAGCTGGTTAGTCCAACTAAAGAAAGGGCTGGCACAAATTACTGATATAGATACTGAAGCAAAACATTAGTTATACAGGTTTAGGCTAGTGCATGGAATGTGCCAGGATTTGGAGAGGAAAGTTGAGTCACGGGAGGCTTTTTGGTGGCTTGTAATGCTTCTTAGTTTTATACTATGTTTGCTCCCTATTGTTTGTTTCTGAAGCAGTGTCAAATTTCCTGATTAAATTCATGGAGGATTTTGCTCTTATTTCTAAAACATGATTTAATGTGTACATCCATTATTTTGCCATTCTTTTTACAAACCTAAAGCATTTAGAAAAGTTAAACAAAACATTGATTGTTTTGAAGCAGCTAGTGCCCTTTTTCATTTCCACAGCTTCTGGATCTCAGAAATTACCAAGCACTCCTCGCCATACTTTGACCAAATCATTGTCTGGAATCAACACAAAAACAATCCCTTTATCTGGTGTGAAGAGGGTTGGTCTCAGCAGAAATTACAAAGGAAACAAAAAGTTGACTGCCAAAGCGAGCATTGCTGCTGTTTCTGTGTCTTGCGGGCCATTCTCCCTTCCACCGAGTCCGGAGAGTGACGTCTCGGCGTCTTCATATGATAAAGGCTCTAGTAGTAAATTACAGGGTGCGTATTACTATGATTTGCTTACAAGCCAATAAGACCTTGTTCATTTGTTTAATTTTATTTTTTTTATTTTTTTTTTAAATTTTAGGGTCTAAGTTGGATGCCTTAGATATAGACAGTAATGCAGAGTCCACAGAACCCAACCAACATTGCATCAGGTTCGTAAACTGATTCAAACTCAAATTTATTACCTAGATGCAGTTCTTTTGAAAAATTATGCTGTAATTGTTCTTGTTTCAGCCGAGTTAAACAACACTACAGCAGTGATGATCTATACAAACCCCGCCCTCCTTTGAGATTGACATCCAAACGTTCAAAGGCAGTGTCTGAGCAAACAAACTTCCTATAATATTTTTATTGTTTGGTCGCTTAATTGGTTGTTTTTATCAAGTCTACTCGAGAGAGTACTAGAATGTTACAATTTGTGTTATGTGATCAAGATCAATCTTGTATATATATAGATATACGTTAATGTTTTGCAACTTTTTAAATTAAAAAATGATTATAAAAGATACGTGTGAAGATGACTCTTTTCGTCCACGGCTCGATATAGGACTGGATGGATGCCAGCACTTGCTTGAAAAATTATGAGCGAGCTCTGCAGCCTCGTATCCCTCACATTGGACCCCACTGAACCGTGAGTTTAAATCCCGGAAACGGTAGTAGACGCCATCTACGCAACACAATTTCTCATAGCAGGTGGTGGAAACTAGAATAAACAAACCTCCAAACTGATTCAACAACAAAGTAACTTCTTCGGACACTTGTCAGAAACTGACAACGACCGCACAAGCACGATCAAAAAGTTAACTTCAAAGTCTGGTATTTTAATTACGAGGATGTCACAATCATCTGGGCATGTTGGGCCTCCAAGACTGGTTGACTTCAGTTGCCGCATTCAAGAACCTGACAATGATAGCAGTGCAGCCTGCCTTCTTACATTTGAGGTAGGGTAGGATTAAAGTTTCTTTAGTTTTAAAAGAATGGCTTAGAAATAATTGAATAAAATGAACAGCTTAATGAAAAACCTTGGTATTTAAAAATTTCTGTGGTAGTGGGTCGTTAAATTGTGCTTCAAACTTGTTGGAAGGTTCAATTTGTTAAATTTCCTTGCATTTTGTTTGTTTACAGCTAGAAAATAAGGAAGCATTATCAAACAGCTCCAATGGGATACAAACAATGGAAACATTCAAGATTGACTTAGAAATGCAGCCAGCCACTTTATCTACCCTTCTTGACGGCTTGGGTCGCATTAGAGCTCAGTTGTCATCAGTCGCAAACAAGAAGTAATATTTAAATAGATATCGCAATTTTGTAAACTTTTTTTGTATTTGAAATTCAACTTAAAATATACATTCAGATAAAAGAAGCCATGAAATCTTTTGAAGTTCCCGCACTTTCTCAAGACAGAACACAACCAAAATCAAAATCTTAAAGTAAGCTGTCAGGCAAAAGATCCTGTCCACAATTTTTACTAGATTTACCAGCTGCAGACCAAATATACCTTTTATTTTATAGAGTCCTAGACTCAGAACTGGCCCAGAGTACTAGACAACGTTTTTCTATAATAAATTTTTCATACACAGTAGAAGAAAGAAGTCGACCCTCAACTGTCTTTTCTTCAAAAACGAGAGTGGTTACAGACACCCTAGAAATTAATTTATTTGTACACCGTACGAAAGCCACACATTGTCATGTCGGACGAAATTCTTCCTGAAGGATGGGAAAAGCGCACTAGCCGCTCGACAGGTTTGTCTCGCTTCATCACTATGGTGGTATACCTCTTTGTACCGACGGATTGTTTCTCTTGTCATGAGGGTTGGAGGTTAGTTTAGATTCACATTTGCTTCTTCAGCCAATTTGTTGTTCTCGAAATATAGTACATCATTGGGTCAGTTCATGAATTTTAGATTTGATTTGCTGTGGAGCTGCAAAATAAAGTCACCGCAACAATCTTTAGATTGACTCCGACCAACTTTGACTGCTGCCGCAACATAAAATTTATCTGACAAGAAATAATATTGGAACATACCTTTCAGAGATTTCTTGTTGGCTACTTGACATACTAACTGTTCAATTTATTTTTCAGGCCACTCCTATTACTTGAATCTCTACACTAAAGAAAGCCAGTGGGAAACTCCCACTGAACCTGCCGAACAGGCGGGGTCTGGTCCCTCAAAAGTTCAATGCAGCCATTTGCTTGTGAAGCACAAAGGATCACGGCGACCATCTTCATGGAGAGAGGATAATATCACTCGTTCAAAGGATGAAGCCATTGATATTCTTAAAGGTGAGACTTTGTGGGCACACAAGAATTCAAAATAAGTTCTAATGTTTTTTTTTCATTACCAATCCTCTTCCTTTGTAGCAGTCATCTTCTAAATGTGACCCTCTCCTGTTCACTATTAATTTAGATTCATACAAAGATTTAATATGTGGATGCAACTGCATCTAGTTGGTCAAAAAAATGTTTTCTTTTAAAGCTTTAAACTCTTTATGACAGAAACTAAAAGTACCCTTCATGGTTCCTTCTTTGGCTTTCTATTTTCATGAGCATCTTATTTTTGAGCATGTCCATTTCTCGTGATATACGCTGCATGTTGTATCTCACTTCTTTGAGAGACTTCCAGCTTGCCATAGCTCTCTCCTCGAGTTGAACTTTTCTCTCTTCCTGCTCTTCGACACTTCCTTCAGTATTGTGAATTTCGTTGCGTATTTCAGCTACAAGCTTCTTGCTTTCAGATACCTTTTTTTGGTAGCTGTGAAGTTCGGCTACAAGTTTATTGTATTGCCTCTCAAATTTGTTTACCGGGATGTCTTTGCAGTTCATTTTATCCACTTATTTGTGCAAGATCAGAATTGGACCAGATTTGCAACTGCAAAAATACAGAAAACCATTTATCAATGTTTTGAAGTAATTATTTCTGATACAAGTATTACTCACTGTAAAATGTTTTTCTCACCTGCTAAAACTCAGTTAAGGAACTAAGTAATATCTTAGTATCTTTCAACTAAATGTGCTTGACAGCTAAAGGGATGACCTCAATAACCATGGCAACTAAATCAGAAACAATTGCCCAACTAACCCATTGTTGTGATTAAATTGAGTATGTTTGTCTTTTGCAGGGTATCTACAAAAAATCAACTCAGGTGATGCTTCCTTGGCGGATTTGGCATCTAAATACTCAGATTGTAGTTCTGCCAAACGAGGTGGTGACTTGGGTCCCTTTGCAAGAGGTTCCATGCAAAAGCCATTTGAAGATGCAGCTTTTGCTCTCGCTGTTGGAGAGCTCAGTGATATTGTCGATACAGATTCAGGAGTTCACTTAATTTTACGTACAGCATGAACTAGAAGCATAGCTCTAGATGTCACTCATCAGATTCCTACTTTTGCATTTTGCTGATTTTTCTATTAATTTTTTTAATGTTCATGCTGTAAATTTGTAGTTATTTATGCTCTGGTAAATTTTACACACAAGGGTTTGTTATCATTGTTTTTCTTTTCCTTTTTTTTTCTAGAGAGGTTTTTTTAAAAAAATATTTTACAACCCTATAATAATGCATTTTGTAACTGATGTGGAATTGTTCCGAAGCATGATCAAGAATTGTTATGATTTTATATTTGGATTATCATTTATCTTTAGCTTGTTGGTACCTTATTTTATACTTAGGATGCATTTTCAATTGTTCCTTTTCTTTATCTAATTTGATGCATTGAATGCTGCCTGCCCAGTGAACAAATATTGTGTTGGGCATTATTCGTTATGTGTTCAACTATTCCTTTGTTTGTATGTCATTCATCTTTCTGAACTTGTATTATACCAACTAAGAATATACCTTCTTTGAGGGAAAACAGCTGAAAATTAAATGAAATGAATCGTGTGCTAAGGAAAACAAGTATTTCTTTCTTTTTTTTTCAGAATACCCCGTACATGGTCTCAACCCACCACACTTGCACCTATCCTTTGCCTTTGCCATTCCCTCCTTTCCCCTTTAGTTGGACCCCGGAATGTGTGGTTTTAAAACTCTGGGAGATCGCACAATTAACAAATATTTAGAGGATGAGACGAGTGTCTAAAAATCCATTTATGAGCAGTTGCCAAGGATCATTGTAATCCTATCTTCGGTCAACGGACAAATCTTGTTGGATCGGAGGGCGACTAATTTGATTTACCAGCATTTCTTAGACACCAACAAGGCCGTTTTGTTTTGCAACTCCATCGTGGATTACTTTCGAGAACGGAGGATTCTGAACACCGGGAAACATCAATTCAAAACCCAAAAAACAACACACCGTCGCCGGTCACTTCGGGTCGTTTCCGGAACCGTCGGCAGAGAGAGAAGAAGAGTAGAGTCGAACAAAAAATATTGGAGTCCGCCATCTGCCGAGCCGAAGCGTTTTGTTCGTTTACATGTTTCTCATTTGTAATTCTCCCGTCATAATGTTGATTTGAGACCGTTTTTGAAGATATATCCCGATGTTGTACATAGGCGGTTCTTCATGTAGATGTAAAGCCTATACCTTTTTCGCTTTTGCCTGCCGGGGAAGCGTTTCGTGGATACCAAAGAAAGCTTCAAACGCGTTTGAAGCTTTCGAGGTCGTATTCATGGAACTATGAACCTGGACTCCTTGTCTTTTGCCTTGTCACAAATAACCTATTTGGTCGCAAATTTAACCAAGAAGAATTTCAAATCAAGCTCACAAGAATTATCACAGGTACGTTGATACCTATTGTATGATGCCTAGCCTAGACGCGCAGTTTCATTCATATACTTTTTTTATTTTGTTTCGGTTTTATGAGAAAAGCGTTTTCTCTTCGGTTAGGCTTTTTCTGCTTTTCTCTATAAATTGTGATCGGTATCCATCATTTTTAGCTTACCCGTGTCGATTTTTACTATTCTTCAAACTTAACCTCCTCATCCCCAAAATTTGCTGAGTGCTGGCTTGTTTGGTTTCATAACCATATATCTAAGGACGGCGTTAAAACCGAAAAATGCTTTCATTTTCTTGTCAGTGGTTTTTGCATTCTATTTCTATTATTAATGTAATTTTCTATTTGTGTTGCCTATCATTTTTACAGAATACTTCGTTAGTGTTAACCTGTTTTTATCCCTTAAACTAGACCTTCACTCATTCTTTTCCTCATAAATTCTGGTTCAGTTGGTGGGTCTGTATGGCGTGGAGGCGGACCGACATCTGCTGCGCTGCCTGCTGTCTCATGTTGATTTGAGCGTAGACGGCAGCAAAAGCAATAACAGTCTCCTATTGGAGCTGCTCGGCCAGGAGTGCAGTTCTCTGCTCACCAAACCGTCGCTTGTCTCCAATATTTGTTACGCCATCGACAACCCACTTCATCATCAAAAGGTTTGTTCTGATACTACTCAATGTTTTGTTCAATTTACTCTTATTTGGCCTCCTTCAATGGTGGTTCTTCTAATTTTTACTTGCTTTAACTTTTATTCAACCTTTCCTTACCCTGCTAACTCTTTTTCTAGACTCTAAAACCAACACCTCAGCTTTTCACACAGCTGAGTAAAGTTTTGAAGCTCAACCCAGTGCAAGAAGTTGTGTTTGGGTTAGCTCTAACTCATTCATCTAACACAGATACTGAGAATTTTGCTACCCAGTTTGTGAAACAGAAACTTCCAGAACTCATAAGATCTTACATTGACATTGGTACGTTGCTTTGTTTTCTTTACCTTATTAGTCTTGTTCAAATCTTAAACTTGCTGAATTTGGATTAATTTGTTGCAGACTCAAGCAGAGGTCACCAGGAAGGAGGCTTGCATGATTCTACTCCTGAAGTTTTGCATTTGATTCTCAGCAGTGTGTTTTGTGATTCTGCCAACCAATTTGGTAAGACATTGTCAAAATTTGAAATTTATTTTTATTATCATAATTATTATTAAATGATTCCAGTTTTTTAAGGCCTTAAATGTATTGTTCAGGTGTTACTTCCGAAACTAAAGAATCATTCCTCAAAAACCTCCGCCGTGACTTCCCAAGAGAGTTGGTACCTGTTGTACTGGCTCCATTGATCTATCCCAACAAACCTGATTTGCCTATGGACAAGTTGAACCAAGACAGCTCAGTCATGGCTAACACTAATGTAAGTTCAGTTTTGCATATTTATACAGTGTCACTGTTTTAATTTGAAAGAAAACTTGGAACTTTCCACTAATTTGTCATCTTTGAATAGCAACTTGCGGAGATGATCATGGAGATGGGATACAACTTCACCTCCTCTGTAGAAACATGCCGCAGTGCATTGGCTTCCCTTGGTGGGCGAGACTTGTCAGCAGCTGCTGTGGCGCGCATCCTTTCCATGATGGCAAGAACGCACAATGGTTTGGATGATCAGGTAATTGAATCGATTTTTGTTTGTTGTGTTGCAATTTACTTTGTCATACATGTAGTATTTATTCTGTTGTCAACTCCTCTTTAGGTGTCACTTCAAAGTCTGAAGAACTCGTCAAATTTCTGGGGAGGAGGAGGAGTGGGAGACTCGTCTGTGAAAGATAAAGGTGGAGGGGTTAATGATCCCTCACATCCCTCCACATGGAACGTTGAAGTGTTGATCCAAACTTTGAAAGAACTCGCTCCCGGCCTTCCTTGGAAGGAAGTTGTGACCTCTCTGGATCATCCTGAATTCATCATCAAAGATCGCATTGGCCTCAATGTCCTGTCCTCAGCTTTGCAGATGGGTTGGCAAAGTCAAGGCTTTCATCAGGAGCTTCCTGCTGAACTTCTTTACCGAAGACTTTGGAAGAACACTGATGGTCAGTTTTCTTTGCTTCAGCAAATTTTGAAGAACTCTGACATATTTTGCATAGCAGACTATCCTTTCCATTCTGCGCCAGTCGATGTGTTGAAGGCACCTCCTGAAAATGACAACAAAGATGTAGCAACATGGTATGTGTTTTTGTGGTTCTTTATATTTTCAAGGCTATTTATCATTATACCATTCTTGGTTCATTATTATTATTATTATTATTAATATTATTTTTATCTTTCAGGCATTGTGTGGATTTGGTGGAAACACTATTGCACTTAGCTGACTGTGGACTTTATGCTCAAGTTCAAGAGCTATTCAAAGTTCCCATTCAGCTGTGCCCTGATGTCCTTGTTCTAGTTTTACTGAATATCAGCCCCCCTGTGACCATGCTTCGGCAAGAGCTTTTCAACACTCTGGTTCCTATATTCTTGGGAAACCACCCCAATGCTGCCATCATCCTGCATAATGCATGGCACAGTCAGATTATCTCCATCAAACCTATCATCATGCATGCCATGGCAGAGTGGTACTTGCGTGATACAGATCAGACTAGACTGTCTCGCATATTGGATGTAGCTCAGGATCTTAAAGCTCTCACCGTTTTGTTAAACGCCCAATCATTTTTGTTTGTTATTGATTTGGCATGCTTGGCCTCAAGACGGGAGTATCTTAAGTTAGAAAAATGGTTGGCTGACAAAATTCATGACCATGGCGAGCCCTTTGTATCAGCTTGCATCAAATTTCTTCAAAGAAGATGCCCTCAAATTATGGGTGGAGTTATCAAGGATGACAACATGCCTAAATCTGCTCAGCTTCCTCATGAGACTTTAGCTGTCATGTTGAATTGTCTTCAAGGCTGCTCAGTGTAAGCTTCCAACCTTTTGTCTATTTTGTTTCTCTAAACCAACCTCAATTTCATCTGGAATGTCATGTTATTTTCTTTGTACAGGGGTCTATCTCAAGAACTAACTGAAATTATCATGACCATGGTTGCTAACTGTAGTATACTTCTAAACAAACCAAGGCAACCTCCACCTGGACCTGGTGTTCTACGGTCTCATTCACAAACCCATCGAACCGGCCTGGAACACTCCCTCCTCGGTGGACAAGTAATTATTATTTGTTAAATCAGCATTCAACCTGTTTCAAAGTACTCAAAAAGACTTTGATGATATTGATTTACATTTTTTAGGTGTTTCCGACTTCTACGGACCCAATGGCATCTCTGAGCTCCACCCTTGTGGGTTTGAATCTGAGTAGTATGGGTCCTGGTGGGATGGGCGGCCCTCCCACCAGTTCAGCATTTAATCTGCCAGGAAGCCTAGGACCTCTTGTGTCCACTCCTGGCTCCCCTTCAAGGTTGTTAGCCCCATCTGGACCCACTGGACCCGGGCCTTCTCAGAGTCCTTTCCCCATGCTACTAAACAACCAGCTGCAGCATGTTGGGGGCCCGGTTGGCTCTCAGGTCCAAGGAGGGGCTGGAACGTCGCTGGTCGGAGGCATGGGCATTCCACATTTGGGTCCCCAGCCAGTGGATAAAACGCGGCTAGGGGAAATTTCACAGATGTTCCCTGAGATGTCACCCAATGTTCCGAAGGAAATTGAAGATGAGGCTAACAGCTACTTTCAAAGGATTTATAATCATCCGCCTCACCCTACTCTGTCTATTGATGAAGTTCTTGAAATGCTTAAGAAGTTTAAAGACTCCTCTAGCAAGCGTGAAAAGGTGTGTGTTTTTCTGTTGTGACAAAATTGTCAATTTAAATTTCAAAGTGAGTCTAATGTTTCTGTCTTCTTTTTTGTGTACAGGAAGTGTATTATTGCATGATCCGTAACTTGTTTGAGGAGTATAGATTCTTCCCTCAGTATCCTGACAAGGAACTACATATTACTGCTCAACTTTTTGGTGGTATTGTTGATAGAGAGCTTTGCCCGTATGTATCACTACTCTAAACCGCCACAGTTAGTTTGCACTGTATCTAGTCATCAAAATCCTGTCTGATTAACTTATGTAACTTCTCATTTTTAGGAATTACCTGGCAATGGGATTGGCACTTCGCTCAGTTCTAGAAGCTTTGCGGAAGCCCCATGGTAGCAAAATGTACTACTTTGGAATTGCTGCCCTCGATAGATTCCGTGGGAAATTAAAGGATTATCAGAGGTATTGTGAGCATGTGTCAGCAATACAACACTTCAGGGACTTTCCACCCCATCTTATTGAGGTAATTGCATCTCTTTCAGCAAAACTTGGTATATTTTAAATTATTTTATTTTGTTTCTAAGACATTAACCTGACTTCTTTTTTTTTGTGTGTGTGTCTGTATAGTATGTCGAGTTTGGCAAGAATGCTATGGAACCACCTCATCAACCAACTGGCCATGTGCTGCCAGCATCATTGGCTGCCCTTGTAACACCCAGCCAAACGCCCGCCTCGACCGTTATTTCGGCCATTCCTTCCACAACAAAGGCAACTTCGTCGACTGGTACCATGCCCAGTCGTCCATCTATTGCAAATGCCACAAATATTGACACTTTGTTGGTAGCAACGGAGAAGGAGGACAAAATTACAGCCCCTCCAGAAGCTCTTCAAGACAAAGTTGCTTTTGTGTTCAACAACCTGAGTCAGTTAAACCTTCAAACTAAGTGTGATGAGATCCGGGACCTGGTGACTGAAGAATATTGGCCATGGATTGCACAGTATCTTGTGATGAAGCGAGCTAGCATTGAACTGAATTTCCATGCCTTGTATTCCAATTTCCTTGACACACTGAAAATTAATCAGGTATCTTGACTGTACCATTAACATATGGTTTCAATAATTTTTTTTTAAAATTTTTTGTTGTTTTCTTACATTTAATACTATCTTTTTACAATTTGTGTTTAGGTTTACTTGTTGGTCTTGAGGGAAACATTCCGGAATATTCGTGTCCTTCTCCGAAGTGACAAAGGAATTGCGAATTTCTCTGATCGTTCTTTATTGAAAAACTTGGGCCATTGGTTGGGCATGCTTACTTTGGGCCGAAGTAAACCAATATTACACAATGACATTGACATCAAATCTCTCTTGGCTGAAGCCTACAACAAAGGCCAGCAAGAACTTCTTTATGTTGTGCCCTTTGTAGCCAAAGTTCTTGAGGCTTGTGCCAAAAGCAAGGTAGATATTCTTTTCGTATATGAGTATCATGTGTTTTTATAACGTGCATCTTTTAATAATCCCCCTCATTTACCTTCGTTTTATTAGGCATTTAAACCACCGTGCCCATGGACTATGGCTATCATGAATGTACTTGCAGAACTTCACCAAGAGCCAGAGCTGAAACTTAATCTCAAATTCGAAATTGAAGTTCTGTGTAAAAACCTAAGCATTGATGTAACAGACCTGAAGCCCAGCCACTACCTGAAGGATCCTGCCAACATTGAGACCATGGAGTACCAGCTTTCTCAACCCAAAAAGAAGGATCACCCTGGTGCTGCGTCAGTACCTTCGACTCCTCAGACTCCCGGTAAGAGAGGTCCGGGTTTTGTCTGTATGCATGTGTAAGGACTGAGTGAACTAAGAAACCTTTGGTTTCAGGCCCTGGCCCTCACGCTGTGACTAATGAGGATGCGGGTGGGTCCCGCACTGTTTCCGCAGCCCCGGCGTCTTTGACTCCGATGTCCAACGCTTCCTCTGCGGCCGCTGCTTCTGCCGCCGCTGCTTCGCACGCCGCCGCCAACCACGCCGCTGCAGCCGTGGCCGCTGCCGCCGCTGCCGCTGCGGGCGCAGGCCTCGGCGGCGTGGGCTCGATGATGGTCTCGGCCCCGGTGCCGCAGTCCTGCACCTCGCCACCCCCAGGCTTGCCTGCTGGCCCTCCAGAACCGCGATTCTCCTACTCCGAAATCAATGTTTCTGGCATTACGCACATTGGCAGGCACATCACTGTCAACAACAATCTAGCCCTGTTCCAAGCCAATCCTCAACTGAAGCAGCTCGTGAGGCCAGCTGTGGAACGAGCTGTGCAAGAATGGATTGTACCGGTGGTGGAGCGATCAGTGAAGATTGCCTTGACAACTTCTGAGCAGATCGTGAAGAAGGATTTCGCATTGGATCCAGAGGAATCCCGCATGCGCATTGCCGCCCACCACATGGTGCGGAACCTGACTGCAGGTATGGCCATGATCACATGCCGCGACCAATTGCTGCTATCCATCGGCTCAAACCTCAAGAGCGCTTTCAGTGCCCAAATGATGGGTGCCACTCAGCAGCAGAAGGATTTGTGTGAACAAGCTGCCACCATCACAGCTCAAGATAATATGGAAGTGGCCTGTGCTTTCATTCAAAAGACAGCCATTGAAAAGGCCATTCCGGAAATTGACAAGCATCTTATGGCAGAATATGAACGCAGGAAGCATGCTCGCACTGAGGGCCGGCGCTACTGTGACCCTGTTGCTCTCACGTATCAGGCTCAAAGTATGCCTGAACAGATCCGCCTTAAAGTTGGTGGAATAACCCAGCAGCAAATGAGCGTCTATGAGGAGTTTGCCCGTAATATTCCTGGCTTTGTGCCTATGACGGAAAGGGAGGCTGCCCTGTTTGTGCCGAAGCCTTTCCCCAATGCCTTGGCCACAGCAGTTCCTTTCCAGAACGCTGCCCCCACCCCAGTGACTTCTGTGACCTCAGTAACATACAGTGATGAGAGCAGCGCCATATACGACAAGCTTGTGTCTGAGCTGGAGCACAACATGCAGAACATGATGAGCACTGCCTCAGGACCAGCCCAGTTGGCCAACTTGCACAACTTGCTTGAGACCTTGATGATTGCTCGCCGGTCTCCCAGGGATGCACTTGCAGCTATGACTCTCCTACAGAAGACCGTCGAAAGTTTATTGGAAGGAATGAGCCAAATATCTCAGATGCTCAATGACCCTGAAACCATGACCAGATTCAGGGACACTCACTTGCGCATTCTGAAGGGCCTTCAAGACCAGCGCATGTACGGAGTCCAGTGGACCAACAAGCAGGTGACCCGGTGCCTGATCGAGTGTCGGGGCGAGCTGCGCTACAACCCCGACGCCATCGACTGCTTGGTGCGGTCGGGTCTCGTCAACATGCAGCAGTACGACCTTCACCTCGCAACAGCAATGGACAATGGACTCAACTTCCCAGTGGTTGCCTTCGCCATGCACCTTGTCCAAATGTACCTCATCGATGAGCGTCTCAACACCAACGTGACCGAAACTGACCTTGGGAACACTATTGAGATGTTGGCTAGGATCGCCCAGCACTCTCGCTCCCCTCCAGAGGGCCTTAATGCTCTCATTGAACTGCTTCGCGCCAATCACGACCCCAACTTGATTGTGGATAGGGCTCCGGGGGGACCCACTGCTCACATCCATTCTGGAATTCTTCAAGTAACATCACGTGACTTTGATGATCTTGGCTATGTCGAGAAGACTGATTTCCTGTTACGTGAATGGGTAACCTTGATCCATTCACCGTCTGGCATCAGAGAGCCTACAAAAGCCTTTGGTACTTTTGTGCAGCATCTGAACATGCATGGTTTCCTAAAGACCGATGATGTCATAACCAGATTCTTCCGCATAAGCACAAGGCTTTGTGTAGACATGTGCTGCCAGGCACTAACAGAGCAGTCCAATTCTCCTACTGTTGTACGAACAAAATGCTACCAGACACTGGATGCATATGTGAAGCTGATAGCATTGCTGGTGAAACATTCTGGTGATACAGCCAATTCGGGAACTAAGATAAATCTTTTGAACAAAGTTCTTGGTATTGTGGCAGGTGTGCTTCTGCACGACCAAGATGCCCATACTCTTGAATTCCAGCAGCTTCCCTATCAACGAATGTTCATTATGCTGTTCTTGGAACTTAATGCCCCAGAACCTATACTGGAGACTATTAACTTCCAAGTTTTGACAGCATTCTGCCACACACTTCATATCCTGAGTCCTTCTAAGGCTCCTGGATTCTCCTATGCGTGGTTGGAAATTGTCTCCCACCGTGTGTTCTTGGGAAGAATGTTAGCTCTCACTCCTCAGCAGAAAGGATGGGGCATGTACTCCCAACTGCTGATGGACCTCTTCAAATTTTTGGCGCCATTCTTGAGAAATGCTGAACTGGCTAAACCAGTCACCCTGTTGTACAAGGGCACTTTGAGGCTCCTTCTTGTTTTGTTGCATGATTTCCCTGAATTTTTATGTGATTATCATTATGGATTCTGTGATGTCATTCCTCCTAATTGCATACAGGTAAGGTGTTGATCCTGTTTACAGGGTTGTTAATGTTATTTTTCACTGACATTGCGTTCATTTATTCAAAAAGTTTCCCAAAAATATTTTTTTATGGTATTATTTTAATTTCTTTGTTGTAAAAGACTTGCAAGGGTTCAAAACCTTAAGGAAAATTTTCTGTTTTGATGAAATTTGCGATGGTGTTGTGTCATAGAAGGATCTGGGGCACAATAGTTGGTCACAGGAGGATGAGACTTTTTTTTTCTGGTCACTTTGACCTTTTGTCCTCCTGTGACCAACACCATAATGAATTTCATCAAATGGAAAATTTTCTGTTACTATTTGAACTCTTGTGAGTATGTTCCAACAAAGACATTAAAGTAATATTAGAAAAAATATTTTTGCTAAATTGTTGAAATAAATGTGTGCAAAATACACTAGAAGCTCTATATAGTGTTTGTGATAGATGCATAAAATTTATAACGATACATACGGCGGCCGATTAATGGCGTTTTCTGCATTGAAGTAACGCATTTGGCACGCTATAAGCGGGATAACGTATAAGGCAACGCCAAATCGAGCAACACCAAATAGAGCTTATACTGTAATTGAAAAGTAACAATAACAACCCTGCCTGTGAATGAGTTTATGGTCGGTTTTCTAGGATAGAGCATTGTCTTACAATAATTTATTGTGGTTTACAGATGCGCAATTTGATCTTATCAGCTTTTCCTAGAAACATGCGCCTGCCAGATCCATTTACACCTAATTTGAAAGTGGACATGCTGCCGGAAATAGCACATGCTCCCAGAGTCCTAACTAACTTCTCATCTATGATCCAACCCCCAAATTTCAAAAAGGTTTGTTAAATTGTCATCTGATAATGTTCCATCTCTTTTCTATCTCACAATTTTGTCTAATTTTTATCTTTGTGTACAGGATCTGGACTCATATCTGAAAGCTCGAGCGCCTGTGACTTTCCTCTCTGAGCTTCGAGGAAATGTTCAAATTTCAAACGAGCCTGGAATGGCCTACAACATTCCTCTGATGAATGCATTGGTTCTGTATGTAGGCACTCAGGCTATCAATTACATTCGCAGCAAGAGTCATACCCCCAACATGACAACCATTGCTCATTCAGCTCATATGGATATCTTCCAAAATCTTGCTGTGGATCTTGATACCGAAGGTGTGTGTTGTATTCTTAACTTCTTCAAAAGCAATTACCTAAGTTGTTTTAGCTAAGTTATGAATAATTCATTCTTTTTTTCTCTCTAGGTCGTTACCTTTTCCTGAATGCTATTGCCAACCAGCTTCGCTATCCCAACAGCCACACTCACTACTTCAGTTGCACTTTGTTGTACCTATTTGCTGAAGCTAATTCTGAGGCCATTCAGGAACAAATTACTCGGTATGACAGTCTTACCTCTGTTGTAAATAAATATGTCATTCAAGTGTTCTTTTCCTCTGAAAACACACTCCCAATTTTTGTTTCAGGGTTCTCCTGGAGCGTCTGATAGTGAATCGGCCACATCCGTGGGGCCTTCTTATTACATTCATTGAACTGATCAAGAATCCTACGTACAAGTTTTGGTTGCATGAATTCGTTCATTGTGCTCCTGAAATTGAGAAGTAAGTTTGTTTACTATTTCCAGCTCTGAATTCTGCTGCGTGAGTAAATAATGGAACACTTTTATTATTGTTGTAATTTTTTGTTACAGGCTCTTTGAGTCGGTTGCTCGATCCTGCATGGTCCAGAAACAGGTCCAGCCAGTTCAAGAAAATGAAGTCCAGGATTAACAATATCTACTATTTCATTGATAATTTTCATTTTGTTTTTTAATTGTTTTATTTCCCACATGAGGGTTAATCTGTAAGTGCATGCTTAACATCTGTTCTCTTGGGATCTCTGAATGGAAGTTGATTGTGATATGTCCTCAGTACACTTAATTGATTTGCTACGTGATTGTATAGTTAGCCTTATGATATAAGAACATCATTGTCAGTCCAAAGTGATATACCTCTCTTCAGAGCCGCAACACAGTCATTGCCACTATTATCTATGCCAGTAGGCCCTTTTGGTAACTGAATCAACGGATCTATTGGCCTACATAATTGACAACCTGTTTACTTTTCAATTCCTGGTCATGACTGTATTGGTCAGCTCTGAATGTATTATTTGATTTGAATGGATTATGAATGCCTACTTTGTTTCTACTGAAGCTTTTACTTAAACATGTGTGATACTTGTAGCATGCATTAAACTGTGCTTTAAATTTATGTTTTTAAGATGGTGAGGGAGAGAGAGAAGACAATGACAAGTTACAAAATGTGCCGAATATTCGCCAAAGTTTGGCTGTTGTCACTATTGCATGAGACTTTCATAACTGCTGCTGCTGTGCAGCATCACTTGTGTCCTGTGAGATCATTTCCCGTAGATTTATAAGATGATTATTATAATTATATAACTATTATTATTATTATTATGAATATTATTGTCATTGTTTGTCCCAAGTTTTACGTTGGAATGCCCAGTTTGTATATATCTTTCTTAAACTTTCTCTGAGGACTTCCTTTGGTGCATGTATTAATTGTAATGGTCTCTACATTCTATTGTATAATGTATATATAATGTATACATGTATGTATATGGAGACATCCAAATGACTCATTGTTTTGTAATGTAATTGTTTTGTCAGTAAATGTGGTCTTGCAACATATCATTGTTTTTATTATTCCACCCAATCTTTTTCTCTTTTTTTTTGGCGGAGGGGGGGGGGAGGTAATGGGAGGCGAGGGAGATGATAGAGTTCAGCAGCCTCCGTGATGCACTTTAAGCGGTGGCGTGGACCCGTGACCCTTGATTCGCCTGCTGTAACATCCTTCCGGCCCTTCCGGGCTGAGACGGGCAGCCAGTGGGCAATCGCTCGCTGTTGGAATGCCGCTGCCGCTGCACTGGCTGGGCAGGGCTGCACAGTTACCCCCTCCTGGCGCGGCCGTTACTCGGAGCCCCTCACTCACTGCTCACTCTCTCAACTGGGCAAGGCGATAGGGTTATGGCGAACCGTCCTCGAAGATGTACTGCAGTCGTTTCCTGGCTGCGGGGCGAAGCGGGGCGGGCAGCAGAGACCTCATTCGGGCTCACTGCTTCGGGCTGGTCCGGAAGTTGCACAGGCCGAGCTGGCAGGCAGGCGCTGCCGCGCAGGCCGAGCTGGCGCCGGGAGCGAGCGTCGGCTGACCGGCAGCGCTAGGTCGCCGGTTCGATGCCACTTAGGGCCCGAGAGCGTCGGTTAAAGTTGGTCATTTCCGTTTTTTGTCATCGCAATGAATAAGATCAGATACTAAATATGCAGATTTGCGAAAGTAACAACCAAAAAAACGTTTCCTAGGCCGTGAAAAACGAATGCCTCTGGCTGGAATCGAACAGCGAACCGGCCTCCTAGGCGCGTCGGGCTGAGCAGCCCGAGCGGGCTGCTCCGGGCTGCGTCGGGCTCTGGGCACCGAGCTCGGGCCGGGCCGGGTCGGGCTGGTCCTCTCGGGCCGGGCCGGGCTCGGGCTGGTCACTCCGTGGCGTCGGGCTGCTTTTCGCTGGAGCAGTGAGCCCGACTGAGGTCTCTGGCGGGCAGCTCTTCCGATAGCCGTCATAAAGCCCTGCACTGCGCCGCCCTGACGCAGCGAGAGCGAGCCGAGCTAGCCGCCGGGTCGGTGGTGGTCGGGGGGTGGGTGTCCCAGGGTGTCCACGGTGGCCAAGTCCCGCCTCGTCTTCCCTCCACCCCGCGGCAGCCCTCTTGACCAGGCAGGACTCTGACTCTTCGCTCGTGTCGGCGCTGGGCCGGCCGGCTGGCCTTCGACAAACGCTTTACCGCCCCCATGGGCATGGCTGGCATGGCATGGGTGGCTGCGGCTCAGCCTGACAAGGCGTCTGGGCCCTGGGGCCGTCCCAGGCCGTGTCGGGAGGCAACGTGGCAGGGAGTGGCCAGCGCAGCACATTGGGGGTGGGGCGGGGGGCGGGCCCGGCCCGGACCGGCCGGACAAGCAAGATGAGCCCAGCCCAGCGAACTGCTTGCGATGTGGATGCGAGGGCGAAGGCGACTCAAGGCGCCGGGAGGGGGCGGGGGTGGCAGGGGCGGAACCAGGCAGAACCAATAACGCTGCTTCGGTGGAGGTACCCGCCACCCCGACCCCCTGCCCGGCCCGGCCCGGAAATGACATGGGACATGTCATGGTGGAGCGGAAAGAGAAGAGAGCGTTTCCTGTTCCTGCGGCGAGTCGGCGAGTCGGCGCGGCCTCCGGGCGAGGCTGGCGCAGGCTGGCGAGGGGTATCGCCGCCGGGTGAGTGACACTGCTGACGGGGAGTAGCGCGGCGTCGCGCCATCCCCACCCAGCGAGCGCCGCCACGCTGCATGCCTGCTCCACGGCGTCCGCGACGTCCTCGGCGTGCCGCAGCAGTGGGCAGCCGGCCGGCTCCCGGACCACCTCGCCTCTGAAGGGCGGGCCAGGCGCGCGCACCGCGACAGTGCAGCGACACGACCTTCCGCACGGCCAGCGCACCGCGCACCTCACACCGCGCACCTCGCACCCCGCCGGGCCCCAGGCCCACCAGGCCTCCTGCACGGGGTGCGCCGCACGGAGTGCACCTGCAGTGCACCAGACGGAGTGCGGCCACTGCGGCTCAGCAGCGCGTTCGGCAGGTACGGTCGTGGACGCAGTAAACAAGCCCCACGTGGTTTGTAGGTGAAGCCTTGGGTAGAACGGTGGTGCCTAAACGTGTCACCTCACCTCGCCTGTTCAAACATCGATAGCGTCAGAGATTAGTCTGAGGTCTTTCAATTTTGTCGGATGGGGTAAGCGGCCTTTTGGGGGAAAATGCGATTAAATTGTGTCCGCCTTGACGAGACGCTGACAGCATTGATGTCCCGGGCAGCTCAAAGTGAGGGTCGGTCCTCCAACTGGAGAAGAAAGGGGTCGGGGGAGGAGCGGTCCTCCAGGCTAGGGCGGTTGTGACCCGCCTTTCAAACGCACTGCTCGTCGGCGCCCGGCCCTTGGCCCGGCCCGTCTGCCCGCCTGGCGCCTTGCCCTTGACACTGGGAGGAGGCGAAGGCAGCGAGCTGCAGCCCCGCACTTTGATGAGCGGGTAAGCCGAGCAGCCCGGCGCCCAAGTTGCTTGCCTGGCCCCGCAGACGCTGGCGTGGCCGCGGCCGCCGCGGCACAGAGGCTGGAAGGGCTGGAACAAACTTAGCCACATGTAATTGATTTTAGACGTGGTGGGCCGAGGGCGGCCCGGTCTGGGGCGCTGCGCCGGGCCGGGCGAGATAGTGTTTCGACAAGAAGTTGCTTGTCGTCAGAATGTAATTCCAGGAAGAAAGTTTGTTGGCTGTCGCTTTGTGACGGCGCGCACAAAAGACGAGCGGTAGCCTACTTCCTGCAGGCCGTGCAGGCCGTGCTGGCCTTCCGAGCGAGGGGGTAAACACTTCAAGAAATCGCGTACAGACTACTCGGTATTACGCTGTATTACGGTGTATTACACGTGTATTACGGCCTTAAAATGCCAAAATTTGGCACATTTGACCCAAAAATGGTATTACGATCACGTGTATTACGCGTAATACACGGTTTTGGTGTACAGGGTATTACGCGAGTGGTTACCCCCTCGCTTCCGAGTGCGTGCCGCCGGACCAGCGAGGGCGGTGCGGACGGGACCCGCGAAGGCGCGAAGCAGCACACCTCCTTCGGGGACTTGTTTGTGGCGTGGGGCGGGGCCAGGCGCGGCCAGGCGCGCGCAGCGAGGAAGGCACGTCGTCTGTTATTATTGGTGCAGGAACTTTATGTGGGGCTTCGCGCTTCGGCTGCTGGGGCCCCTTCGGTACGGGACGGTACCCTTGGCGGTACCCGTGGCACCCACTCGCCGCTCCCGAGGACGGCGGGGCCATAAACACGCTCGCACCTGCTTACATGGCAGAAAGGGGGAGGGGGTGGTTTGCGTCGCCTTTCGGCGCGGGTATTCCGTACGCGTTGTCGCGTTGCCGCGGTGCGACGATGGATGTACCACCACGATGAATGTGCCGGGGTACAACTATTGCGCGATGGTTGTACCCCCCGAAAATCCGATCGGAACAGGGTACAGCCAACGCGCGATGAATGTACCCCTAGGTACACGTCTCCAAATGGTGCATTCATGGCACGACATCGCCAGCCACTCCTGGCTGCCCCCGGCCCGTCCACTGCAGAGCGAGCAGGAACATGATTACGGCGCGGCGGGGGAAGAAGTCTAATTTGGCTCCAGAGTACGTGTGGCGTCCCCCATCCCCCAGGATCGTGTGGAGGAGCGACGTCCGCGTTGCCGCTGCCATGCCGTCCCGGCCGTCCCGACATGGCACGCCTAGGGTGCCCACAGTCCCGGCCGTCCCGACACGGCACGCCTAGAGTGCCCAGAGTTCCAGAGTGTAGGTTAGGTTAGTGCTCTCGGTCCGACCCGGCAGGGCTATCGCCAAGCTATCGCCCTTCATTAGGCGAATGATGCAGCCCGTCATTCATCATCCACGCCATCGGTTGGCCACCCTGGCCACTGCACTGGACGGCGCTCAAGGCTGCCCACACCCAAAAGACGGTTCTTGTCTTGATCTCACTCTGGAAACGACGGAAACCAACTTAGGCTTGGTGAATTCTCAGCGCTCCGTATGATACGCTGTAATTGATAAGACCAATCTAGTTTACACGGCCCGCTGCGTTCGCAAGCGTGATTTGATGACGTCAAGGCAAATGCTGTCGATTCCGAAACAGTCCAGCCAGCCGCTTCCTCCCTCGTCCTCCGCCGGCCGCACCTTTCGGTCTTTCCGGTTCGTTCTTCTCATGCAGCGGAAAGGCGACCCGTTCCTCTCCGCCAGTCTTCCTGCCGGCGAACTCGCTGCCGGCCCGCTGAAGAGTCCGCCTGAAGAGTCCGGCCTCACGAGAGCAGCTCCGTTCCGTTCCCTTCAACGGGAACAAAAGCCGGTCCACTCCAGCGGACTGATTCCGCGAGTCGCTTTCGTCGCTCTGTCTCTCTCGCTCTCATGGGGCACCCCGTATAGGTGTGAGGGAGACAGAGCGACGAAAACGACTCTCAGTCTGCAGCCACACTCCCACTGGCCCCGGACCTCCACGTCCAGCTGCCCCGGACCGCGGCCACGTCGCCGCACTACAATGGGGCCCAACACCCTTTGCCCCGACGCGACGGTCCGACCCGCCACCACACCGTCGACGTTCAGCACCCCCAAAATTACACCCGACTTTTTGATTCGAAAAGAAATCCTATAGACGACTTGAGCTAGGGGAAAGAAGAGGAAGAAAACACCTTCCCGAACATGGCGGCCGGCCCCTCATTGGTCCTAGCAGCCGACGGCGGCCGTCCGCCATGTTCGGGAAGGTATTTTCTTCCTCTTCTTTCGCCTAGCTCAAGTCGTCTATTGAAGGCCGTTGGGCAGACCAGCGTGGGCTTTCGCCGCCGAGGCTGGCTGTCGGGGCACGGAGGCCGCGCCAGTCTTAGTCGTGGTAGAACGCCCTGGAGACACCCCCGCCGATGCGGCACACTGCGCGCGTTTGGCGTGTCGAACATGTGCGACAGACAGTCTCGCAGTCGCACTCCCGCGCAGCTGCCAGGGCGTGTCACTCAGCCAGGCGCGCGACCGCGCCGTCGCGCCGTCGGTCTCCGCCTCCCGGGCGCGCGCAGCTGGCGAAGGTGGACGTGACCTTGTTGGCCTTGACGGGATGCGCAGCCGGGGCACGTACGGCATGAGGTGGCGTGCAGCCTAGCGTGCCCGTCTGGGACTTTGATCTGCGACGGCGGCGCCCACGCCAGAACGCGCCGGGCCACGCCACGTGTATCGGGTCACGCGGGGGCCCGGCCAAGGGCCCGGCGCGGCCGCCTCGTCGGACGACGGGCCTGCCGGACACGCTCTGCTCGGCAGAGCAGAAAAAAAGAGTGGGCGGCCGGCGGAAACGGACACCGAGAAACGGGGCTGCATTTGTTTTGATGGGCGGCGACGCGCACCACTGGGTGGGGCGGGCCGGCGGGGCGTCGCGATGTAATGGGCCGCGAACCGAACGCAGCGCGGCAGCGCCTTGAGGGAAGGCCGGCCAGGCCGCCCGACGGCATGGCGATGCCCGCCCGCAGCACACGCGCGTCGGCCGGGCGGCCTATCCCGGCGACGGCGGGCGCTCCCTCCCAGTAGAGACCTAGAGACTGACGGAGAAGCGCGGGCGCCGATAAGCGCACCAACAGTTTCTCATACTCCTCGCGCGCGGCCGGAGAGCTGTTTCATATTCCAGACAAAATGGCGGCGCACGCACTTAACGGCTAGAGAAGGTTTTTCGGTCACAGCTTCCAAACCGTTCTAGATAGAGGGGTATAGTAAGCGAGCCGATTGTAGGTCTCTGTACAATCTACAATCGGCTCGCTTACTGTACCACTCTAACTTGAACGGTTTTCGAGCTGTGGCCGAAAAACTGTTCCGGTTGTCTACTGCGCTCCGCCTCGCCCCACCTTACCGCACCGCTCTCCGCTCCGCTCCCTGTCCCCTCCCCGCTCCCCTCTGGGCCGGGCCAGACAAAATGGCCGCCAGCGCGCGACGGCGCCCGCGCTTCTCCGTCAGCCTCTAGGTCTCTACCTCCCAGGAGCCGTCTGATTCCGGATTCCGCACATCGCCGTCGCCGCGTCGCTCTGTCTCCCTCGCACTCGTGGCGCGTCTCCAGAGAGACAGTGCAACGGAGGCGCCGTGCCCTCGCCTCCCAGCCATCACTTCATCACTCGCCTCGCCGCGACGCTTTAAAGGGCGTGCGTCTCGCCAGCCCCGCCGGCCCCGCCGGCCCGCAGGGGGGCCCGGCCGGGGGACCGCACCGCGCAGCACCGCGGCGACATTTCCAGACACATTGCCCCGGGCCGGCGTGGCGGCGAGGCCGACGGCGAGGCGGAGGGCGGCGGAGTGCTTCGACAAACAACGACAGGGGGTTAACGTTCGCGGCGACGTCCCGGCGGCACGGCCAGGCCGTTGAAGTGGGTGTGCAATGAAAGAAGTAAGAGCCTCCTCCCCCCCCCCCTCTCCGCGGCGTCCACGAGGAGGTGCGCGCTAATTGGAGCTGTCATGCGTAAGGCGGAGTCGGACTGCCTCCGCCGCCCCGGTCTTGCGACAGTAAAAGAGTGGCGCGCTCCTTTCCAGTTTGTTTACTGTAGTTTTCATGATAAATAATCTACTGCCGCCATTAGCGCCAAGGCGGGGGAAGGGCGAGGAGCCCCGCCAGGGCGACGGGGCGAAGCTCGGACTTTGGTTTGCACTTTCACTTTGGGGAGGGGAGGGGGCCGGGTTCGCGCCCCTTTCTGGTGGAGGGCACGCTACTCCTCGCCACGCCACGCCACGCCACGCCGCGGCGTTGATTGATTCCCGCGAGTCCCCCCGTGTGAGGAAGCCCCACGGCCCGGCCGCCCCGCCCCGGAGTGAATGGACGCGAAAATATCGCCGAGGCGCGCCGACGCCGCCGTTATACCGCAGCCGACGTGGCGTGCAGATTAATCTGATCTTAATTAATAGATTAGCTAATTAACGACCTGAAAGTAATTAATGGCGGATGAAGTTTCTGGCCAGAGAGTTGTGGACTGCTGCTCTAGGGGTGGGGGGAGGGGTTAGAGAAAGTGGTGTCGTTCACCACGTTTTCTTCTCCG